TATTAGTAGTAAGTAGTAGTAGTAGTAAGTAGTAGTAGTAAGTAGTAGTAGTAGTAGTAGTAGTAAGTAGTAGTAGTAGAGTAGTAGTAAGTAGTAAGAGTAAAGTAGTAGTATAGAAGTAGTAGTAGTAGTAGTAAGTAGTAGTAGTAGTAGTAGTATAGTAGTAAGTAGTATAGTAGTAGTAATAAGTAGATAATAGTATAGTAGTAAGTAGTAGTAGTAGTAGTACGTAGTATAGTAGTAAGTAGTAGTAGTAGTAAGTAGTAGTATAGTAAGTAGTAGTAAGTAGTAAGTAGTAAGTAGTAGTATTAGTAGTATAGTAAAGTATAGTAGTAGTAAGTAGTAGTAGTAAGTAGTAGTAGTAGTAGAGTAGTAGTAGTATAGTAGTATAGTAGTATTAAGTAGTAAGTATAGTAAAGTAGTTAGTAGTAGTAAGTATAGTAGTAGTAGTAAGTAGTATAGTATAAGTAGTATAGTAAGTAGTAGTAGTAAGTAGTAGTAGTAGTAGTAGTAAAGTAGTAGTAGTATAGTAGTAGTAGTAAGTAGTAGTAGTAGTAAGTAAGTAGTAGTAGTAAGTAGTATTTATATGTGAAAGTAGTAGTGTAGAAAGTATAGTAAGTAGTAGTAGTAGTAGTAGTAGTAAGTAGTAGTAGTAGTAAGTAGTAGTAGTAGTAAGTAAGTAGTAGTAGTAGTAGAAGTAGTAGTATGTAGTAGTAGTAGTAAGTAGTAGTAGTAGTTAAGTAGTAGTAGTAAGTAGAGTAGTAAAGTAGTAGTAGTAGTATAGTAAGTAGTAGTAGTAAGATATTTAGTAGTAGTAAGTAGAAGTAGTAATAGTTAGTAGTAGTATAGAAAGTAGTAGTAGTAGTAGTAGTAGTATAGTAGTAGTAATGTAGTAAAGTAGTAGTAGTAAGTAGTAGTAGTAGTATAGTAGTAAGTAGTAGTAAGTAGTAGTAGTAGTAGTAGTAGTAAGTAGTAGTAGTAGTAAGTAGTAGTATTTTAAGTAGTTAGTAAGTATAGTAGTAGAAAGTAGAGTAGTAGTAGTAAGAAAGAAAGTAGTTAGTAGTAGTAATTAGTAGTAGTAGTATAGTAGTAGTAGTAGGTTAAAGGGTAGTATTTAGTAGGTTATAGTAAGTAGTTGTAGTAAGTAGTAGTAGTGGGGTAGTAAGTAGTAGTAGTAGTAAGTAGTAGTAGTATAGTAGAAAGTAGTATAATAGTAGTAGTAGTAGTAAAAGGGAATAGTAGTAGTAGTAAGTAGTAGTAAGTAGTATAGTAGTAAGTAAAAGTAGTATAGTTAGAAAGTTAGTAGTAAGTGTATAGTAGTATAGGTAGTAGTAGTAGTAAGTAGTAGTAGTAGTTAGTAGTAGTAGTAGTAAGTAGTAGTAGTAGTAAGTAGTAGTAGTAGTAAGTAGTAGTAGTAGTAGTTAGTAGTAGTAGTAGTAAGTAGTAGTAGTAGTAAGTAGTAGTAGTAGTTAGTAGTAGTAGTAGTAAGTAGTAGTAGTAGTTAGTAGTAGTAGTAGTAAGTAGTTTACAACACCGTGGTGTTTACAACACCACCTCCAAGGATGAGGGACTGATTACCTCATCTTTTGTATATAGTTCTTCTGTTTTCTAATTATGTCCAAGAATCTGTATTGATAAAGCCCCTGGATGGTGAAACGTCTACAATAAAAATAACCAGATGTTGCACAAGTGTCTTAACATTCATCTTGTCGGTATTGTATACCTGTCTTGCACAAGGTAGTAGTAGTAGTAGTAGTAGTAGTAGAAAGTAGTAGTAGTAGCAGTAGTAGTAGTGTAGTAGTAAATAGTAGTAGTAGTAGTGAGTAGGGGAAGTGGTAGTGGTACCGGAGTCAGAGTGGATTAAACAGTCAGAGATTAAAACCAAACCACTGCAGAGACGATGACAGGGAGCATCAGGACTGAGGTGGTCGTCCCAGGACTGGGGTGGTCGTCCCAGGACGGGAGGTCCTCCCAGGACTAAGGTGGTCGTCCCAGGACGGGTGGTCGTCCCAGGACTGGGGTGGTCGTCCCAGGACTGGGGTGGTCGTCACTGGACTGAGGTGGTCGTCCCAGGAGTGAGGTGGTCGTCAAAGGTCTGGTACATCCTCACTGTGTCATCTTGCACCAAGTACACCACAATCTGTATCTGGAAAAAAAAAATTTAAGTCACGAGATATTGAGATTAGTCACGAGGGAGCATTCACCAAATTCAACTTCAATAACAAAAAGAAAGTGGAACCAAGTAAACCAAGTCCTAACCGATATAAGCTGGGAAGATATACTAAGCAACACAGACCCCCAACTTATGCCTAGAACAGATTAACTTGGTGGCACTCGATGTATGCACAAGGCTTATTCCTCTAAGAAAAAGGAGGAGTAGATGTAAAATAGAAAGAGACAGGCGCTCCCTTTACAGGCGACGGAAAAGAATAACAGAGCGGCTAAAAGAGGTCAATATATCTGAAATGCGTAGGGAGACACTGGTCAGAGAAATAGCAAGCATCGAACTTAAGCTAAAGGAATCTTATAGGAGTCAGGAATCGTGCGAAGAACTAAAAGCCATAAATGAAATCGAAAGAAACCCAAAGTATTTCTTCTATGCCAAATCAAAGTCGAGAACAACGTCCAGTATTGGGCTCCTACTTAAACAAGATGGGTCCTACACAGATGACAGCAAGGAAATGAGTGAGCTACTCAAGTCCCAATATGACTCAGTTTTTAGCAAGCCGCTAACCAGACTGAGAGTCGAAGATCAAAATGATTTTTTTATGGGAGAGCCACAGAATTTGGTTAACACAAGCCAATCCGATGTTATCCTGACGCCAAATGACTTCGAACAGGCGATAAATGACATGCCCATGCACTCTGCCCCAGGGCCAGACTCATGGAACTCCGTGTTCATCAAGAACGAGCCTTTACCATCCTGTGGAGAGGGAGCATGGACACGGGGGTCGTCCCACAGTTACTAAAAACAACAGACATAGCCCCACTCCACAAAGGGGGCAGTAAAGCAACAGCAAAGAACAACAGACCAATAGCACTAACATCCCATATCATAAAAATCTTTGAAAGGGTCCTAAGAAGCAAGATCACCACCCATCGAGAAACCCATCAGTTACACAACCCAGGGCAACATGGGTTTAGAACAGGTCGCTCCTGTCTGTCTCAACTATTGGATCACTACGACAAGGTCCTAGATGCACTAGAAGACAAAAAGAATGCAGATGTAATATATACAGACTTTGCAAAAGCCTTCGACAAGTGTGACCATGGCGTAATAGCGCACAAAATGCGTGCTAAAGGAATAACAGGAAAAGTCGGTCGATGGATCTATAATTTGACTCAAGAAATCGTAATGACACGATTGCAAATAAACCATACCCCCGGCCGGGATTGAACCCGTGGTCATAGAGTCTCAAAACTCCAGCCCGTCGCGTTAGCCACTAGACCAGCTAGCCACAATAAGATTGTGGCTAGCTGGTCTAGTGGCTAACGCGACGGGCTGGAGTTTTGAGACTCTATGACCGCGGGTTCAATCCCGGCCGGGGGTATGGTTGATCTATAATTTCCTCACTAACAGAACACAGAGAGTAGTAGTCAACAGAGTAAAGTCCGAGGCAGCTACGGTGAAAAGCTCTGTTCCACAAGGCACAGTACTCGCTCCCATCTTGTTCCTCATCCTCATATCCGACATAGACAAGGATGTTGCAGTAAAGCAACAGCAAAGAACTACAGACCAATAGCACTAACATCCCATATCATAAAAATCTTTGAAAGGGTCCTAAGAAGCAAGATCACCACCCATCTAGAAACCCATCAGTTACACAACCCAGGGCAACATGGGTTTAGAACAGGTCGCTCCTGTCTGTCTCAACTATTGGATCACTACGACAAGGCCCTAAATGCACTAGAAGACAAAAAGAATGCAGATGTAATATATACCGACTTTGCAAAAGCCTTCGACAAGTGTGACCATGGCGTAATAGCGCACAAAATGCGTGCTAAAGGAATAACAGGAAAAGTCGGTCGATGGATCTATAATTTCCTCACTAACAGAACACAGAGAGTAGTCGTCAACAGAGTAAAGTCCGAGGCAGCTACGGTGAAAAGCTCTGTTCCTCAAGGCACAGTACTAGCTCCCATCTTGTTCCTCATCCTCATATCCGACATAGACAAGGATGTCAGCCACAGCACCGTGTCTTCCTTTGCAGATGACACCCGAATCTGCATGACAGTGTCTTCCATTGCAGACACTGCAAGGCTCCAGGCGGACATCAACCAAATCTTTCAGTGGGCTGCAGAAAACAATATGAAGTTCAACGATGAGAAATTTCAATTACTCAGATATGGTAAACATGAGGAAATTAAATCTTCATCAGAGTACAAAACAAATTCTGGCCACAAAATAGAGCGAAACACCAACGTCAAAGACCTGGGAGTGATTATGTCGGAGGATCTCACCTTCAAGGACCATAACATTGTATCAATCGCATCTGCTAGAAAAATGACAGGATGGATAATGAGAACCTTCAAAACTAGGGAGGCCAAGCTCATGATGACACTCTTCAGGTCACTTGTTCTATCTAGGCTGGAATATTGCTGCACACTAACAGCACCTTTCAAGGCAGGTGAAATTGCTGACCTAGAAAATGTACAGAGAACCTTCACGGCGCGCATAACGGAGATAAAACACCTCATTACTGGGAGCGCTTGAGGTTCCTAAAACTGTATTCCCTGGAACGCAGGCGGGAGAGATACATGATTATATACACCTGGAAAATCCTAGAGGGACTAGTACCGAACTTGCACACGAAAATCACTCACTACGAAAGCAAAAGACTTGGCAGACGATGCAACATCCCCCCAATGAAAAGCAGGGGTGTCACTAGCACGTTAAGAGACCATACAATAAGTGTCAGGGGCCCGAGACTGTTCAACTGCCTCCCAGCACACATAAGGGGGATTACCAACAGACCCCTGGCAGTCTTCAAGCTGGCACTGGACAAGCACCTAAAGTCAGTTCCTGATCAGCCGGGCTGTGGCTCGTACGTTGGTTTGCGTGCAGCCAGCAGCAACAGCCTGGTTGATCAGGCTCTGATCCACCAGGAGGCCTGGTCACAGACCGGGCCGCGGGGGCGTTGACCCCCGGAACTCTCTCCAGGTAGATATTTTCTCCTCTGTTATGGAGGTGTATGTAGAGGTTGTTTTGTGTGAAATAAGAACAGAAGTAATTAACAGAGTGAGCAAGGTATTTAGCACAAGAGGGTTAATAGCACCCTCTTGTTGCTGGTGTTTGTGCTGATGTCAACATGTCATGGGTGGTCTTGTAAAACACAAGAGGGTTAATAGCACCCTCTTGTTGCTGGTGTTTGTGCTGATGTCAACATGTCATGGGTGGTCTTGTAAAAAAAATACATCATGCACGAGGGTTTTAGTACTAAAGCACTGCTGAAGCTTTGATATGGCCCTTTTGGAAACTCTATTTTTCAAGGTGAGCTTAGCTAATGTTCATTTATCCGAATATTATTTTCATAAGGTTTTTCTCATCTGCCTTCAGTGATTCTAATTCCTCTTTCAAACGGTCTCTTTCAAGCTGTACTCGACGATGATCTTCAGTCATTTTGTAGAGTTCATATTCCAGCTTCTGACTATTTCTGTACTCAGCAATTTGCTCTGTCGATTGTTGCTGCGTCGTTCTCATCATCTGTATCTCAAAGATCAATGTCCTTATAATTTCATACGCAAGCCTCTTTTCCTTTTTAACTGTTTCTATTTCTTTCTTAAGATTCTCTATTTTTTGTTTTTCGTGTTCCCGGTACTCACGCTGCTTAATAGCACGCGACCTGCTTTGTTCTTTCACTGGATCCTCAAACGGTTCATTTATCTCGTGTAATTTTAGCTTTTTGGTTACAGTATTGTGGGAAGAGACACACTTACGCTTACTATGGTTGTGACTGGAGCTTGTTGGTCCTGAGATGTCCTTCCCATTATGTGATATAGCACTGTCTTTTTCCATGTGGGAAGTTCCGGTCTCCGGTTTAACTTCCATGGCATACCTGTTTTGTACACCTTCAATGTTGTATGACACTACTATTCTTGTGTTGGTTTGTTTCTGAGTTGGGGTTTCACTCTGTAACAAGTTGTTTTGCAAATGCTTGTCTGAGTTTTGAGCAGCAGGAATGTGAGGTACATTGTCTAGTGTCTGCTGAGGGGGGAGAATCAGCAACACAGAGTTTCCAGTATTGTAGTTACCAACTGGATGTGTTGCAGTTCTGCTGATGACACTCTGCCTGCCTGGCGTCTGGTGGTACTGCGAAGACTGATGCTCTACACTCTTACCTGAGGTCTGCTGTACAGACTGTGGGATCTGCTGTACAGACTGTGGGATCTGCTGTACAGACTGTGGGATCTGTTGTACAGACTGTGGGATCTGCTGTACAGACTGTGGGATCTGCTGTACAGACTGTGGGATCTGCTGTACAGACTGTGGGTTCTGCTGCTGCACAGACTGTGGGGTCTGCTGTACACTTTTTCCTAATGTCTGCTGCACATTGAGGCCTGGGGTCTGATCAAGCACACCACTCTGGTACGGGATCTGAGAGAACAGATGCTGCTGAACACTAATGTTTGGAGTTTGAATAGACCCTGAGGGCTGCTGAACACTTATGTCTGGAGTTTGAATAGACTCTGAGGGCCGCTGAACACCCTGGTCTTGGTTTTGGACAAACATTTTATCTTCACTTTCGCTGAGCCAAGAATCCAGTAAAGAATTAAGCTCCTTATCAGGAAAATGCAAATTTTTATCATATACCCCGAAGATGTCTGCCTCCTCCGGCATCTCACCGGAGATATCATTCACATCCATCGTGAATGATTCTTTTTCACCACACTAAAGTTCAAATATTTCTATGTAATGCAGTGAAACAGCGGGGCCAAGAGCTGAGGTTCAACCCCTGGTAACCACAATAGAAGAGCACTGAGAGAGTAGTGTCCCGTCAGTAATTCAGATATTGTGTTGGATTTCCGGCGCTGTAGCTGTTATATATACAGCTGCCAAAACGTTTTGTACACACCCAAGCCACGTTAAAATTCGTTTTATTGGAAGACTCACATTATTGCCTGATACCACTACACTAACACCATCAATTATTATTATTAATCATTATTATTATTATCGTCATTAAACTCGCAAAACAACGAAGCTAGTGTCATGCACATTATTAAACAATGTATACAATGAAAGGCTTTGTATCTATATAATGCCTGGCAATACTGCACTTGAGATATGCTCCACCCACACTGACTGCGTCATGCTACCAGTAGATTGCGTCATAACAGTTGATTACGTACATCTAACGGTGGTATATAAACCTTGGTAATAAATACCGACAAACCACAAAATTTCTAAAACATTAGCATACATGATACTCAAGGAGGCTAAACACCACCAACCCAACAACACAGGATTCACAATGGAAATAAGTCACTCTTGACTTTTTTGGGTTATCCTAGGTTCTCTACACACATATTGCTATGTATGATAATTCTATGTAACTGTATTTGTGTATACCCGGTGGTCTGGTGGCTAAAGCTCCCGCTTCACACACGGAGGGCCCGGGTTCGATTCCCGGCGGGTGGAAATTCCGACACGTTTCCTTACACCTATTGTCCTGTTCACCTAGCAGCAAATAGGTACCTGGGTGTTAGTCGACTGGTGTGGGTCGCATCCTGGGGGACAAGATTAAGGACCCCAATGGAAATAAGTTAGACAGTCCTCGATGACGCACTGACTTTCTTGGGTTATCCTGGGTGGCTAACCCTCCGGGGTTAAAAATCCGAACGAAATCTTATCTTATCTTTCCCGTCCTCATCTCAACATGACATTCTTCAGGTCACTATGAGTCACTCACACCTCACTCTCCGCCTATATATACTGTCTTTCTACCTCTATGTTAGACGTGATCAAGGTCCCAGGACCGAAACGTTTTCTAATAAATATGTCATAGTGTTTGCTTACGTGTCTTTCTAACCCATATCTAACGGTGGCGTTGATTATAATTATAATCATGGAGGAGCGCTACACCCGAAGGATTATACAGGCGTTGAACACCCAAAACCCCCCTCCAAGTATACACTGCATCATGATAACAATAGATTTCAACATAAAAGATTGAACCATGATAGTAAATGACACTCACAGTAATCTGGTTATCATTATTATAGTCAGGGGGGATTGCTAAACCTGTAGGATTATACAGCGCATGTGGGGGGGGGGTGGAATGGAAGGTATTCAGACTTGATTCAGGGAACCGGAGCACAGATCCAATCCCCTAGATCAAGAGCCCCTCACCAGCATCAAGGAACCTCCCTTGAGGGGAATCAGGTTATCAGATACCATCAATATATATACCCATGTTTGCAATGTATATCTGCAGCAGACATGTTGCAGTGTTACTGACTATGACAACACTATGGGGAAACGCAAAACCTGCAGTTCCATACAGTGCCTGGGGGAAGGGGGAGGATTGGGAGGTAAAAGGGTTCATTCCAAGGGGTGACTCATATTCCTTGGATCAAGAGCACGACCTTCCCCCTTAAAGGATTTGATGGCCATTCTGATATTGGCAAAACGTATGTGTAATGTTTGTGCATACGTAAATGTGTGTGTGATGTCCATGGTGTGACTAATGTGTGAGTCATATCCTTGTACTACGTATATCTAAGTATACGCACTTGTGCTACCATACGTTAATGGCTATATATATATATATATATATATATATATATATATATATATATATATATATATATATATATATATATATATATATATATATATATATAATTTTTTTTTTTTTCAACAAGTCGGCCGTCTCCCACCGAGGCAGGGTGACCCAAAAAAGAAAGAAAATCCCCAAAAAGAAAATACTTTCATCATCATTCAACACTTTCACCACACTCGCACATTATCACTGTTTTTGCAGAGGAGCTCAGAACACAACAGTCTAGAAGCATACACATATAAAGATACACAACATATCCCTCCATGCAAAACAACCACTCTGAAAGAATAGTTCCTTAATAATGTGAGTAGTCACGAAAGCGCTTGGAATTTCTCTATTCTTCCAGAGTGGTTGTTTTGCATATTCTGAAATCACCTGTTTACTGTGATCTTATTGCATATATATGAAGGAGGGGTGTTAATGTTGCAGTTTAAAAACTGTAGTGTAAAGCACCCTTCTGGCAAGACAGTGATGGAGTGAATGATGGTGAAAGTTTTTCTTTTTCGGGCCACCCTGCCTTGGTGGGAATCGGCCAGTGTGATATATATATATATATATATATATATATATATATATATATATATATATATATATATATATATATATATATATATATATATATATATATATATATTGGCAGTTTGGAGGGATATGTTGTGTATCTTTATACGTATATGCTTCTAAGCTGTTGTATTCTGAGCACCTCTGCAAAAGCAGTGATAATGTGTGAGTGTGGTGAAAGTGTTGAATGATGATGAAAGTATTTTCTTTTTGGGGATTTTCTTTCTTTTTTGGGTCACCCTGCCTCGGTGGGAGACGGCCGACTTGTTGAAAAAAAAAATTATATATATATATATATATATATATATATATATATATTAATATATATATATATATATATATATATATATATATATATATATATATATATATATATAAATATATATATATATTCTTGTACCATCTCTATCTTTTGTTATAAGATGTAAATATCAATAATGTCTATCTCCTTACATAGCTATGCTATTTCCTACTCCGTATACTGTACATTGGTCACAACATTAAGATAACTCAAAAGGAAAAGCATTTATTATCATTTCTTAAGTCTTCGTCCACAACTAATACAAAAATAACAAATATATTGGACTTGTATATACAGTAAATATAGTACACTAAATATAAAAGATTATTTACTTGTTATTACAAATATGTTAAGTTTTTAATTCAGGTTCATTACACGAAGTTCCAGGGGTTGAGTTTCAGCTCCTGGGCCCACCTCTCTGCTGGCCACTATTGGGTTCACACTCTCTTGGCTGCAGGACCATGTCATACCTGATCTTAAAACTATGTATAATAACCAATACACTAAGAGACAACACAGTAGGTTTTAGGGGCCCAAGACTGTTCAACTGCCTCCCAGCATACATAAGGGGGATTACCAACAGACCCCTGGCTCTTTTCAAAAGGCACTGAATAGACGCCTAAAGTCAGTTCCTGACCAGCCGAGCTGCGGTTTGTACGTCATTTGTACATTTGGACTACACATTTTATATTTTGCAACTTTTATGATTTGTATATGTGCTTTGTGGCGGCACAAACTGACAGAGAACTGTGATCTGGTGTGTGGGTCACCAAACACCAGATGACAGCTTGATCAAATGTGTGTGAATTTTATCAGTAGTCTCGTGTGACTTTAATGGATTATGGGATGCTTTTCTGATGCCAGTGAGGGGCTCTTGATCCTAGGAACTGGATTTATCCTCCCATGGATTAAACCATTTCCTGGTGCTTATAAGATACTTACTTACCCTTTTGGATTTAGTATTTCCCCAGTTAAAATTGATCCTAGGATATTTCAAATGTATATAAGGGCAGGCAAGATTATTATTATTATACATTATTCTTGGGGAAGTGCTAAATTTATAGGGGTCACACAACACCTAGGGAATGGTAGATAATAAAATCTGATCCAGGGAAAGAGTAATTTTAGTTCTTGGATCAAGGCTCTTCACTACCATCAAGGCACCCCTCTTGATACTGGTGAATGATTAGAAATTCACCAGCATCATTGCTTGTGGATGGTTGGCTATTGAGTAAGATAGTGTCAGAGTGAGGTGGAGAGTTTGTGGGAACAATAAACCACAAAGAAACAAAAGCCTTTGGCCCATTAAACCTTGAATAGTAAGAAGGACAAAAACAGATGGTGATATGCAGGCATCAAGTTACCTCTCATGTTCAGCATTTTCGTTCATTTATTTTTTTAGTTTTTATGCATTTTTACTCTTCTTTACCTCCTGACAGCCTTCTTATCTTACATATCAGTTGCTCTTCTAACAAAAATGTACACTCTATCATGCACATCCGTATGATAACCTCTTCAACCTTTATCTATCAGTCCATAGTCCAAAAGATTGATTATTGAGACACATCATTACCTCATTTAAAGCACTAAGTCATCTTTTACTTTAAACATGTAGTACTGTACTCTCTTACCTATCGTAAATTTTTTTTCTAAATATGTATAAGAAAGTCTCCCACTGCTATTTACACCAGGCATTCTAAACTTCCTTCCTATACTTTAACAAAACTATCTAGACTTCTTGGTGTGTAGTACATGGCAGTTACTTAAACAATGTAAAATTACTTTCACTAAATTTATAATTTATAATTATCTTGAACATATTAAATCTTTTCTTTCTTTTAAGAAGTATGTCTCACAATTTTACAATTATGTAAGTGGAGTTCTGGCACAGGTGCTGAGACAGTAACACTTGAAGGCATGCTAAATAGATTTTCAATTTTAGTGATACGAAATGACTGACGAATAAAACAGTAAGGATTACACTTTGTAATTTCTCATTATTTTCCCAAAGCTTACAGTTAGATACATGTTTAAGAGGAGTGAAGCCTTAATCTGTATGACAAAGATTACAGAAGTCAGGGACGATATACAGCTTGGACACCATGGTGCCGTGCAGACCTTCAGTACTACATGTCAATATAGTTGTATGTTATATGTCTTGAGCACTGAGGGTCAACACTGAGATTTTATTCACTGGGCACTCCTGAAATAAGATTGAGTCCAGATTAAATCATCTTTTGCCCTCTCATATTCCTCACATATACAGTATATGGAGTGAGGGGGGAGGGTATAAAAGTTTGTATGCAAGGGGCTCAGACATCCAAATGGTGTGTGTGTGAGCATGTTAGATACTAGTGAGTGGAGGCAAATGTTTTTCATGACTTGACATGCTGGTGGAGTGTGTGAGCAAGGTAACATTTTTGAAGGGATTCAGGGAAACCAGACAGCCAGACTTGAGTCCTGGAGGTAAGAAGTACTGTGCCTGCTCTCTGAAGCTGGGTTGAGGGATATCGCAGTGTGGAGTAGTATTTGAGCTGTAATGTCAACACACCTCTTGCAAGACAGTGATGGAGTAAGAGATGATTAAAGTGTCTTCTTTGAAGAGTCACCCTACCTCAATGGATGGCAGCCATTGTGATAAAAAAAATTGACTTGAATCCCAGGGTTGTTTGTTACAACATTATAAACTTTATACAGCATAAATATAAACTTCCAAACAGTGTAGGTCTCAAGTTATTCATCAACAAACATTAAGATATAGAATGATCACAATGTTCTTCCTCACAAACTTAATCACTATGCACAGAGGATATAGTCCTTTAAGTCTGCCTGAAATGCTATGAATAAATATGGGCTTTTTCTTATAAGAAATAAATACTGTTAGCCTACTACTGTAGCTGTTATGTACCTTCTTGGGAAATAAATCTATCATTAGCATTATTATTATGATTATTTTTATGATTAAAGTAAGTACAGTACTGTATATCACAACTATTTTGTTCATCAAAATGTTGCTTATACTAAGTGCCATTACTCTATTCTGTTATTTGTAATAAGTAATTCCTTATATGTACAATGTGTAAGAAATTATTTAAATAATACTATGCATTTGTAGTACAGTGGTACCACGGGATACGAACTTATTTCGTTCCAGAAGGCTGTTCGAGTGTTGATACTGAACAAATTTGTACCCATAAGGAATAATGTAAATTAGATTAATTCATTTCAGACCCCCAAAAATACACTTAACAAGCACTTACATAAATACGCTTACATAATTGTTCATGTTTAGAGCTGTTCGTATCCCTAGGTGCCACGGTATTTTAAATACATATACGTACATGTACTGTACACATTGTTATGTAGTATTAAAAAGAAGAATTATCAATGATCATATAAATGTACTGTAAAAAGCAGTGTTACATATAACTGTGAGCACATACATGCAGCAGGAGCAGCAGGAGTAGTAGGAGCAGCAGGAAGCAGCAGAGGAGCAGCAGTGGTGTGTAGGGCAGCTAGTGCCTGAATTTCATCAGCTGTAGGGATGAATGCCTGGGCCATGGGTGGGATGAAACTGCTCACACCTATGTTGCAACAGATATAAGTGAAAAAATAATTGCTACTATTATATCCTTAGAAAGCACGAAACCCACATGAGTCACCGAGTGCTGCACAACAGGGTGAGAGAGATGGTAGAGGGACAGAGGTGAAAATGTTAAGAGGAGGACATCAGCAGAGAAGTACAACGTCTGCACTTTGAAGGAGAGAATGGAGATATGTATGTTGCCGTTTTTGAACTGTAGTATCAGCACGCCTCTGGCAAGACAGTGATGGAGTGAGTGATGATGAAAGTGTTTTTTTTTTTTTTTGGGGGGGGGGGGGAAGTGGGAGGGGGGTTTGCCTTGCCTCAGTGGGAAAGGCCAATGTGTTAAACAAAAAATCAACAGAGAAAGAACAGCTATAAATAAATACAGTATATACTGCAGTTACATTAGGAATAACAGATCCAGAATGGTTCAGCCACATAGTCAAAAATAATGGTTTATCTTATCTAACAAGTGAAAGAAGACCTTTACTAAGAAGATGCAATTTAACATGGACATAAAATACTTACAGAGGCAGAGGCATAAGCAAGTAAATTTATTTAGGCACAGGTACACACAATACAATTATCAGACTGTAAATTACCCACCAAGATAACCCAAAAAGTCAGACCAAAATTATTTATTTCCATTAGATGAAAGCAATTAATACAGATGCAATGGTTCAGAACAATTTGTAATCAGGACTTACCAGGTGGCATTCCAAAACCAGATCCTGGGAGGATACCAGCAGAAGCAACAGCCACTACAATCATCAAAAATACCAGCAGGGAGTAACGCATTTTGAATTCTTGAAAAAAAAAAAAGGTAATTTGAACATTAAGAACCTGTGATACTTGTAATAGTGTCTCATTTGTAACTACAGTGGACCCCCGCTTAACGATCACCTCCAAATGCGACCAATTATGTAAGTGTATTTATGTAAGTGCGTTTGTACGTGTATGTTTGGGGGTCTGAAATGGACTAATCTACTTCACAATATTCCTTATGGGAAAAAATTCGGTCAGTACTGGCACCTGAACATACTACTGGAATGAAAAAAGTTCGTTAACCGGGGGTCCACTGTATATGTATTATACTTATTTAAAAAATATGCTATTCATAATAAATAAAAAAGGACTAATGCAACAGAATGTATTTAGAGTATTTACTCTGCAAAAGCAGTGATAATGTGTGAGTGAGGTGAAAGTGTTGAATGATGATGAAAGTATTTTCTTTTTGGGGATTTTCTTTCTTTTTTGGGTCACCCTGCCTTAGTGGGAGACGACCGACTTGTTGGAAAAAAAAAAAAAAAAAAAAAAAAAAACTAGAAAATACCGTACTGAAGCAGACTAATATGTAAAAAATCATATTACAGTATTATATTGAAGGGGAACACTAAGCTGATAAGGGTCATACAGGTTTGATCTGAAACGAGGAAGAAGGGGTGACCGCACTTCTTAGAAAAGGAGCTCTTCACCAACAAGGCATCCCCTCCATCCTTAGAAGATAACATAAATAAATAATAAAAGTATGTATTGGTACTGTACTTGGAATTCCTATTTGTCTAGCAGTCTGGCACTGATGCACACAACACCTTCTTAAGAGCAGTGTTGACGAGAGACTAAAGGCACGTCCCTCCTGTGTCTTGTTTTTATATACCACGTGATGGAAAGACCACCTCAAGATCTTGCAACTCACTGCACTTGCACACTCCTGCCAATGACTAGCATTACTGAATGAACTTCTTCATAGCTTCAACTATTATTATATTCACAGATAAGCAGCAAACCAATAGGGGTCCTACATCTACATATTTTAAGTACATAGTGAAGTGTCCAACTTTTTTGGGTTTTCCTGGCGAGTAATTTACACTATGTTTGATAATTGTACTAATGTGTACTTGTACCTAAATAAACTTACTTTAATGTCTTATTACTTATATGAATTATTTCTTTTAAAAACCTGTTTGTACGCTCACATTTAATATCCACAGATTTATCTATGACTATCCAGTGTCCTGTGAATTATGGATTCCTACAACGTCAAATTTACAGAGAAGTCATATAACTCGTAGGGATCAAGCAGTGCCTGGAAAATTGGAGGTGATCAAGTTTGATACAGTAGAAGGCAGGGAAAAGCCTTTCAGTTCCTTTTATCAAAGGCCTTTCAATGGAATAAAGGCATCCTCTTGGAAGGATATGGATTCCAGTAATTTTGTTTGCTAAATATGAAATTCACTGTGTGTAATATATGTTGATTCCAGATAAAATGCAAATGCAGTTAAGTCAGTATCATCCATCACCACTGACAAAGCCACCAACCTACCCAGGAGTGCACTGACATGTTCATGTTTAAGCTTAGCAGTAATCCCTCACGTGGTCAAAGACTCGTGCATCCACGGTTATGGTGGTGGTAGTGATGACACAGTATAATGGTCTTTGATAATGCTTGTCACTATCACGAGTGTAAAAGTCAAGGATTGCAGGATGTCACAGAGGCTTCTCAAATGGTATATAAGACTAATGCTGCAACAGCTGCATTACTGGAGTCCTTTGCCAACGCTACTCTCAGCAAGGTGTGCATCAGTGCCTGACTAGTAAGTGAAACCTCTCTAATACTCATTTTTCATCTTATTTAAATACTTCAAAGGGATTGATGCTGGTGAAGGGCTTTTAACCTAAGGAATTGTAGCTGCCTTAAGAGATACGAGATAAGATTTTATTCAGATTTTTAGCCCCGGGGCATTAGCCACCCAGGATAACCCAAGAAAGTCAGTGCATCATCGAGGACTGTGTCTTATTTCCATTGTGGTCCTTGAATCTTGTCTCCCAGAATGCAACCCACACCTGTTAACTAACACCCAGATACCTACTTGCTTGCTAGGTGAATGGGAAAGCAGGTGTAAGGAAACATGACACATGTTTCCACCCTGCTGGGGATTGAACCACAGACACTCATTGTGTGAGGCAAGAGTGTTGCCTACCAGGCCATGGGAAGGGCAATGATCTCTATAGGTATAGTACCTATGGGTTTAGAGTGTTCACAGAAACAAAATCAGCATCTTATTTACCAACCTTGATCTACTTCATATTAAATTAATTTCAAGTGTGAAATTTGAGTCGTACAGCTGCTGGTGAGTGGAGAGTAGGGGGTGTGGGGGAGGAACGAAGGGGGTGTGGGGGAGGAACAAAGGGGGCGTGGGGGAGGAACGAAGGGGGTGTGGGGGCAGGAATGAAGGTGATGTGAAGAGGAATGAAGGGGTGTGGGAGAGGAATGAAGGTGATGCAGAAGAGGAATGAAGGGGATGTGGAGGAGGAATGAAGGAGGGTGCGAGGGAAGGAATGAAGGGGTAATTAAACTTGATCTGAAGGGAAGGGTATCTCCAGTTCCTTGACTCAAAAGCCCCTCATCATCATCATCATCAAGGTGCCTCCCCCTGAAACACACGTGTGCAGTGGGCTCATATATTTGATACATATTTTCATCAGGGGACACCACTAAATCTGTATTATTATTATTACACTATCATAACTAAGAGGTAAACCCTAAATCTGTAGTCATACAGCACCTGGAAAATGCAGGCCATTAAAGTCTGATCCAAGGAAGGGGAAAATATGTCTAGTTCCTTGGATCAAAAGCCCTTCACCAACATGAAGGCACCTCCCTCGATGTGTACATGTTTTTTTTACAGTACAAATTAGTCAAAATGGGATTTTTTTTAATTTAACAAGTTAGTAGATGAGTAAATTTACGTACTTTATTTTCTTGTCGAATTATACGAGCCATTTGTTTCTATTGTTTTACTCTATACTTGTATCATGGTCTCATATTTTAAGCTCAGAATGTATTAATGTTGAATTTCTTTCAAGCAAGTTAGATTTTAGAGTACTGTTATATTCTATATTTCAAGTGACTTTTGGATGAAGATATGAAAATATTCAAGCAGTCTTGTTAATAATGAGCAAAATAATTGTAAAAAAAAAAAAAAATATATTTTCATACCTGTACAGGAGGGCCCCACTTTACAGTACTTCGCTTTACAGCGTTTTACTAATGCAGCAGTTTCAATTAAACTCATTCTACATTTACTCAGATTTCCTTAAATAAATATACTTATCATTCAATATAAGCTAAAAATTAAATTATTTTAAGGTAAGTAATGTGTGTACTGTATATGCATTGTTTAGGCCTAGCTCTTTTGCTCACTTAATATTTTTTTTTTTTTTCAACAAGTCGGCCGTCTCCCACCGAGGCAGGGTGACCCAAAAAAGAAAATCCCCAAAAAGAAAATACTTTCTTCATCATTCAACACTTTCACCACACTCACACATTATCACTGCTTTTGCAGAGGTGCTCAGAATACAACAGCTTAGAAGCATATACGTATAAAGATACACAACATATCCCTCCAAACTGCCAATATCCCAAACCCCTCCTTTAAAGTGCAGGCATTGTACTTCCCATTTCCAGGACTCAAGTTCGACTATATGAACATAACCGGTTTCCCTGAATCCCTTCACTAAATATTACCCTGCTCACACTCCAACAGATCGTCAGGTCCCAAGTATCATTCGCCTCCATTCACTCCTATCTAACACGCTCATGCACGCTTGCTGGAAGTCCAAGCCCCTAGCCCATGTTATCAGGCTTTTATATCCATGTGAAAGTGAAAATAGGACTATGCTTCACTTTACAGTAATTTTCACTTTACAGCAGTAGCCCAGAACCTAACCTGCTGTATAAGAGGGGCCTACCTGTAGTTTAAATTGTCTTCCCACTCAATTAAAATTTTCTCAAGATTTTAATGTTAAAATCTTTTCTGTTTAATTTTCCAGGAATTCAAAATGCGTTACTCAGTGCTGGTATTACTGATGGTAGCAGTGGGTGTTGCTAGTGCTGCCGCTGTCCTCCCAGTACCTGTTGTTAGCGTACCTACAGGTAAATCCTTGAACCTGCTACATGGCAGTACACTTTTCTGCAAGCATGACCTCCCTTTATGTATTCATGTGGCAACTAAATCCATGGGGATAATATGTTGCCTGGGAAATGGGAGGTGATCAGGACTGATCTTAGAAAGGGGTGAGGAGAGAAACTTCAATTCCTCAGATCAAAAGTCCTTCACCTGCATCAAGGCACCCCCTTGAAGGTGTTTCTTTTTTGCCTGTAAAGCCAAAGAAAAATGTATACTATTTCAGTTATGTATAGCCAAAAATTTTGAGATGTGACAAACTGTTCATCTAGAAATTTGCAAAACTCATTCTTTGCATATCTTTAATGAAATTAAGTTGCCACTCTTAGAAAAGTGAGGAAAGCTAAGATGTGAAAGTAAAATTAGCAAAGTTATTTATCCCCCTGAGAAGCATTTACTGTTAATATTCCCTTTTCAGTATTATCTCACTCGAACACATGTAATAATGAATAATAAAATTTGAAGACTATTAGAGCCTTATGGTTATTCAACTCTGTATGATATGTCTTAAACTTATCCTATTACATACATGTAAGTTAAAATAATACACCCAGTTATAAATCTTAATACAAATACCCTACATACACACACACACACCAAAAATTTTGTATATCCATTTAAAAAATGGTTAATATTACACCACTTATCAACACAGGAGCTGTTGGAGGATTCATCCCATCTGCTGCCCAGGGCTTCATACCTTCCGTGGATACCATACAAGCTCTGGCTGCTCTACACACCACTGTTGCCCCTCCACCCAGTTCAACTCCTGCACTGTGTATGTTTCTTTAGCATTTTTCAAGTTTTCCACGTATAATTAGTGCATTAATTTTTCATATTTTCATCTTGACATTACAGAGATTATCATTATTACTTTATTATATTTTACAAAGCACTAAATCTACACAGGCCATGCAGCACTGCAGGCTGCATAGATATCTGTAACAGCATATTGTAAAGAGCCAGAGTTACTACTATGATACCCTCTATAAAACTCAAAACCGCTTTATTCTGCATGTTGCAAAATATAAAAATTAAAGGTAATATCTGTGGCAGTATGGAAGTATGGAAGAAGTGAATGTTTTCAGATACTTGGGAGTTGACGTGTCGGCGAATGGATTTATGAAGGATGAGGTTAATCATAGAATTGACGAGGGAAAAAAGGTGAGTGGTGCGTTGAGGTATATGTGGAGTCAAAAAACGTTATCTATGGAGGCAAAGAAGGGAATGTATGAAAGTATAGTAGTACCAACACTCTTATATGGATGTGAAGCTTGGGTGGTAAATGCAGCAGCGAGGAGACAGTTGGAGGCAGTGGAGATGTCCTGTCTAAGGGCAATGTGTGGTGTAAATATTATGCAGAAAATTCGGAGTGTGGAAATTAGGAGAAGGAGTGGAGTTAATAAAAGCATTAGTCAGAGGGCAGAAGAGGGGTTGTTGAGGTGGTTTGGTCATTTAGAGAGAATGGATCAAAGTAGAATGACATGGAAAGCATATAAATCTATAGGGGAAGGAAGGAGGGGTAGGGGTCGTCCTCGAAAGGGTTGGAAAGAGGGGGTAAAGGAGGTTTTGTGGGCTAGGGGCTTGGACTTCCAGCAAGCGTGCATGAGCGTGTTAGATAGGAGTGAATGGAGGCGAATGATACTTGGGACCTGACGATCTGTTGAAGTGTGAGCAGGGTAATATTTAGTGAAGGGATTCAGGGAAACCGGTTATGTTCATATAGTCGGACTTGAGTCCTGGAAATGGGAAGTACAATGCCTGCACTTTAAAGGAGGGGTTTGGGATATTGGCAGTTTGGAGGGATATGTTGTGTATCTTTATACGTATATGCTTCTAAGCTGTTGTATTCTGGGCACCTCTGCAAAAGCAGTGATAATGTGTGAGTGTGGTGAAAGTGTTGAATGATGATGAAAGTATTTTCTTTTTGGGGATTTTCTTTCTTTTTGGGTCACCCTGCCTCGGTGGGAGACGGCCGACTTGTTGAAAAAAAAAAAAAAAAAATCTGTGGCACAGTACTGTATAGGTATTTAAATATATAAGCATGTCTATGTTTATTATTATATTCATGGAGAAGGGCTAAACCCATAGGGGTCATAAAGCACCATGCTCAAATTGAATTTAATACATGACAGGCAGACTTTTTCATCTACATCATCAAAAATTATGTAGTAGTAGTTCCAAGAGGATAATCTAATTTGATCTGTATCTTATTTCAGGAATGGCAATGGATTAAAATAATAACATCACTGATCAATAGCCAGTCAGCAGACATTTGTACTTACTACTGATAATGGAGGTCTCTTAGTGATACACATGGTGCTGGAGGTGCTTCAACATCACCTGATTCTGTGGTCTTCAAGCTATGCATTATTAGGCTTCAGGCAAACTTCTTCATCCTATGGTCTTCAAGCTATGCAATATCAGGCTTCAGGCAAACTTCATCCTATGGTCTTCAAGCTATGCAGTTTTAGTCTTCAAACTACATCAACGTATGTAGTCAACATTGAACACTCCCTGCTACTGTTTTAAAGATCTGTTTGTTCACTCTCTAAATTCGAGGTCCTGTGTGTTGACACAAAACACATTCAAAAACCTTCATACACACTATGCACAGAAATGTTAACATACTTTCAGAGACATTTGTTCCTTAGAGAAAAACTTTTTGTATGCTAAAGAAATCATGAATTATAGTTTTAACCAGCAGTGTTCTTTACATAAAGAACAAAAGGGCACAATACTGTAACTGGAACAATACACAAATAACCCACACACAGGAGAGTGTCATCGGACTGAAACATCATAAGCTTCTATGTGCAGGTTATTTGTGTTTAGATAGATAACATTATTTCCTAAGAGATACATAACCTACAGTAGTAGGTTAACAGTCAATGATATATTTTAGAATTTTGAGAAGTCTAAAGCTGTGACTAATACTGACAGTATAAAAATACAAATTGTATTAGACATTGTGTATATAATTAGTACATAATATTATGATAAAATTTTTTAGTGAAAATAGAGCATTTAGTAAAAGACATTAAAGTAAGATTTAATATTAAAACAAAGCTAAACTTGAAGAGGACTGTAAGAGCAAATATGGAACTAATGCTATAATAATAGTTGAAGATAGTGTTGCTGTATTATACAAGTATCAGTACAAGATTCTACAGCACAATTGCTAAACCTGTGGTCTACCTTATGAACCTGAATCAATTGTACACTAGTGGGCCCTGCCCATCAGTGATCACATCAACTATTGCTGCATTGCTCCACTTCTTCCACTGGCTCCACTATAAAAGGCTTAGTTCTCATGTCTCTATTTAGATTTATAAGCCCTTGGTGGGTGACATGTCTTTCAATAAAGATACCCAGGTGTTACACAAGTCTTATTCATCAACCTGTCATTGTTATTTTATATTTTTTTATTAACACATCAGCCATCTCCCACCAAGGCAGGGTGGCCCGAAAGAAAAACTTTCACCATCATTCACTCCATCACTGTCTTGCCCGAGGCACGCTTACACTACAATTATAAAACTACAACATTAACACCCCTCCTTCACAGTGCCCTTCATATCTTCACACTTTCTCTTTATAATTATAGCATAAATTACAATCTTCTATGTAAAACATTTCTAAAACTTACATTATTGGTATCTGAATTCATATACTTCAGATTGAAAATGTTCTAAGGAGGGGTAGTGAAGTTGCAGTCAGAGGGTAATCTGAACTGTGATCTCAGCACACTACTGTTCAGCTATTAAAACTTTGGGGGCCCAGTTCCTGGACCCATTATATACCTCTGTAATCTGTAAATGCCTTTGTAACTTGTCATGATTGTGACCAGATCTACCTGGAGTTCATTACTTCTTTAACTTGCTCAGCTATCAAAACTTTGGGACCCAGTCCCTGGACCCATTATGTACCTCTGTAATCTTTTGACTACCGCCCACAGGATGGGTATGGGGTGCATAATAAACATATTAAACTAATTAAGCACACTACTGGCAAAACAGCATTGGAATGAATGATGGTGAATATGTTTCTTTCTTTGGGTCACTCTGCCTTGGTGGGAAACAACATTTGAGGTAAAAAAAAAAAAAATCCCAGAGCTAAACCTTAACACAGATAGTGTTGAGGGAAGGACATCACCAGCAAACAGGAATCAGAATTATATAGCAAATCAATTTTAGGTAAAAAATCATGGAACAAATCTACTTTAAAGATGAGTGCAAATGAGAGTCCAAAGCTTATTTTTTTTTTTTTTTTTTTCAACAAGTCGGCCGTCTCCCACCGAGGCAGGGTGACCCAAAAAAGAAAGAAAATCCCCAAAAAGAAAATACTTTCATCATCATTCAACACTTTCACCACACTCGCACATTATCACTGTTTTTGCAGAGGAGCTCAGAACACAACAGTCTAGAAGCATACACATATAAAGATACACAACATATCCCTCCAAACTGCCAATATCCCAAACCCCTCCTTTAAAGTGCAGGCATTGTACTTCCCATTTCCAGGACTCAAGTCCGACTATATGAAAATAACCGGTTTCCCTGAATCCCTTCACTAAATATTACCCTGCTCACACTCCAACAGATCGTCAGGTCCCAAGTACCATTCGTCTCCATTCACTCCTATCTAACACGCTCACGCACGCTTGCTGGAAGTCCAAGCCCCTTACCCACAAAACCTCCTTTACCCCCTCTCTCCAACCCTTTCGAGGACGACCCCTACCCCGCCTTCCTTCCCTATAGATTTATATGCTTTCCATGTCATTCTACTTTGATCCATTCTCTCTAAATGACCAAACCACCTCAACAACCCCTCTTCTGCCCTCTGACTAATACTTTTATTAACTCCACACCTTCTCCTAATTTCCACACTCCGAATTTTCTGCATAATATTTACACCACACATTGCCCTTAAACAGGACATCTCCACTGCCTCCAAACGTCTCCTCGCTGCTGCATTTACCACCCAAGCTTCACACCCATATAAGAGTGTTGGTACTACTATACTTTCATACATTCCCTTCTTTGCCTCCATACATAACGTTTTTTGACTCCACATATACCTCAACGCACCACTCACCTTTTTTCCCTCATCAATTCTATGATTAACCTCATCCTTCATAAATCCATCCGCCGACACGTCAACTCCCAAGTATCTGAAAACATTCACTTCTTCCATACTCCTCCTCCCCAATTTGATATCCAATTTTCTTTATCTAAATCATTTGACACCCTCATCACCTTACTCTTTTCTATGTTCACTTTCAACTTTCTACCTTTACACACATTCCCAAACTCATCCACTAACCTTTGCAATTTTTCTTTAGAATCTCCCATAAGCACAGTATCATCAGCAAAAAGTAACTGTGTCAATTCCCATTTTGAATTTGATTCCCCATAATTTAATCCCACCCCTCTCCCAAACACCCTAGCATTTACTTCCTTTACAACCCCATCTATAAATATATTAAACAACCATGGTGACATTACACATCCCTGTCTAAGACCTACTTTTACCGGGAAGTAGTCTCCCTCTCTTCTACACACCCTAACCTGAGCCTCACTATCCTCACTATCCAAAGCTTATGCATACACAAAATAATAAATCAAACAATGCTATAGGCAAATGAATAAAAATATGAAGATAAATGCAAACATGTTAGTGATTTTTTTTTTTTTTTTCAACAAGTCGGTCGTCTCCCACTGAGGCAGGGTGACCCAAAAAAGAAAGAAAATCCCCAAAAAGAAAATACTTCCATCATCATTCAACACTTTCACCACACTCACACATTATCACTGCTTTTGCAGAGGTGCTCAGAATACAACAGTTTAGAAGCATATACGTATAAAGATACACAACATATCCCTCCAAACTGCCAATATCCCAAACCCCTCCTTTAAAGTGCAGGCATTGTACTTCCCATTTCCAGGACTCAAGTCCGACTATATGAAAATAACCGGTTTCCCTGAATCCCTTCACTAAATATTGTTAGTGATCTGACTATAAAACCTTTTGTCATCAAGGGAAGGTAGCTCCAATCCCCTGGATCAAGCCCTTCAGCATGAAGGCACCCCACTTGAGGGGGAAGAGGACAGAAGTGTGGAGGGTGGGCCGAAATGTGTGACAATATCCATGACATGACAGCAACAAGAAGAGGAGCAAGAATCTACATAGTATACTACACTAAAGGACCCCAATGGAAATAAGTCACTGAGTTTTTTGGGTTATCCTAGGTTCTCTACACATATGCTGCTATGTATGATAATTCTATGTAACTGTATTTGTGTATACCTGAATAAACTAACTTACTTACTTGTGATTCGTCCTAAAGCTTATTTAAAATTCATGAATTATAGAAGACTGAGATATGGTTGAAATAAAAGATATTTTATCAGTATTTTGTATTACAGTCCATTTTGAATGTAATCTATTACAGCACTGGACTCTTACATTTAATAAAGGTGTAATGCCAGCAAGTGGTAAATACACACTTTATGCAGTGGTTTTTATTGGTATAAATTGGTACTAGTAAAGAGTAATAACTTTACTGCATTAAGTCTATTTAAAACTTGACACTAAAGAGCCAAACAGTAATATCCTGAATTGGCTGCAGGAAATCTTAAGAGCTTGCCAGACCTCACTTAAACAATGAATTATTCAGACATAAAGCATCATAGGTAATTTTAAAATAAATACATCATATCTACATTATTTTAATATAATCCAATATATATAAACCAAACATCAAGAATCAAATGTATCACCAATGCACACCTTTACCAACTTGTTAATTCATTATACACTGAATTTAATTTTGCAAACATACACTAACAATCAACAGACCTGTAAAATATAAATAATGAAACTCCTGAGATATAGGGGAATCACTATTAATAATTGATGAAATACAATGCAGACACCTAGGTAGTAGGTTGGTAGACAGCAACCGCCCAGGGAGGTACTACCGTCCTGCCAAGCGAGTGTAAAACGGAAACCTGTAATTGTTTTACATGATGGTAGGATTGCTGGTGTCCATTTTTCTGTCTCATAAACATGCAAGATTTCAGGTATGTCTTGCTACTTCTACTCACACTTAGGCCACACTACACATACATGTACAAGCATATACAGTGGACCCCCGGTTAACGAACTTTTTTCATTCCAGTAGTATGTTCAGGTGCCAGTACTGACCGAATTTTTTCCCATAAGGAATATTGTGAAGTAGATTAGTCAATTTCAGACCCCCAAACATACACGTACAAACGCACTTACATAAATACACTTACATAATTGGTCGCATTTGGAGGTGATCGTTATGCGGGGGTCCACTGTATATATATATATATACACACACCCCTCTGGGTTTTCTTCTATTTTCTTTCTAGTTCTTGTTCTTGTTTATTTCCTCTTACCTCCACGGGGAAATGGAACAGAATTCTTCCTCCGTAAGCCATGCGTGTTGTAAGAGGCGACTAAAATGCCGGGAGTGAGGGGCTAGTAACCCCTTCTCCTGTATAAATTGCTAAATTTAAAAAGAGAAACTTTTGTTTTTCTTTTGGGGCCACCCTGCCTCGGTGGGATACGGCCGGATTGATGAAAAAAAAATGTAAACAATGTTTAGGAGTCCCTACAGTGCCCCTACTGTAGATAAATGCATATACTGTGAGTGTATACAAAGGCACCAAAATAAATCATCACATTTAATACAGAAGGGCATTCATGGAATGAATATTAGAAAAGCATGCTATGCTTTGGTATCATACTGAATCTTGTGTTAACTAAACAAGTAAACACCCAGCAGTTTCTTATTAATGGGAGTATTCTTCACACTGAACTCTCTGGCGAATGACAAAATCCTCATCACTGTCAGTGCTCGATACCTCTCTGGTGCTAGTTTCCTCAGCTAAAAAAAAAAAAAATTATTATTAACAATAGAAATAAGTTTCTGGTGAATACTGGAGGAAACTTCTGTTACAATATGATGTAGCACAAACCACTGTATGGTCACAAATGTTATACAAATAAAGCCGGCATGAAGTTATAGGAAGGCATTTAAAAAATAAACAAAACATTGTGAAGTATAATATGGAGGTGCACAGAATGCTTGAGTTACTGAAAGCAGACTACGAAACCAACAGAAATTCACCAGCATATCACGGGTTTCAAGACTATGTCATATTAAGAAAACAGAGTTGCCCCGGGGTGCGATAACTTTGATATTAACAGAACAGACATTTAAGATGAACGGTGGCCCAGGCAACCAAACAATTTTTCCACGTAACAAATTTGTCCCAACATAGTATCCAGTGGTGTTCATCTTTATGCACCCTTGGAACAGCATAGAAGAAATGCAATTTGCACAAAGTGGCTAAATGTAGCAACCAATGTGTTTTAACTCCAAGGTACTGATATAAATTTCTAGTATGCTACATTTAATACACTGATGTCAGTGTGGTACAAATACTTAAACAGGTCTTGGAACAAACTGCAAAATTGTACATATGACGACATATCTGTGACCTATAACAAACATATTGAAGACAGTGTACATGAAGAAAAGTTAAAAAAGAATTAAAGAAATGCAAATGAATGAATAGAAAAAGAATCATCAGTCTATTATACTGAGAATTTGAAACAATTCTGAAGATAAGCAGAGAAAATGTCGAGATGAAGGAAATGTTTGTAACAAGTTAAATGTTGCTGATGAAATGGAAACAGAACTTTTCTGCTTGGAACAAAGATGAATATTTATTAGAGGGGAAGACTATGAAGTGAGCATGAAGCAAGGTAGGAAGGCAGTAAATAAGTAGAAAGTTGGATAAACCAGCTGGGATGCCATCTGAAACACTCAAAACAAGTGGGGATATAGAGATTGACAGAGAGACTGTGCAGCTCTTATGTATACAAGAGTACAAGAGAGAAAGAGAAGGAATTATAGGGAAATAATCTTTGTGAGTATACAAGGTAAAGTTTATTGCAGAACTGTCATTAAGTGTGACAAGCAATAGGAAGTATAACTACAGTAGTATAATTAAAAAAGGACAGGAATGAAGGGATCATGTTTGCCATGAAGCAAACAAGAAGAATTTGCTTTATTTATAAACTTTTGAAAACTGTATTGGGAAAAGGATTTAGGAGTTCTGGTTAGCAGTAATCTAAAACCAAGACAACAGTGCATTAGTGTTTGCAATAAAGCTAACAGAATCCTTGGCTTCATAACTAGAAGTATAAATAATAGAAGTCCTCAGGTTGTTCTTCAACTCTATATATCCTTGGTTAGGTCTCATTTAGATTATGCTGCACAGTTCTGGTCACTGTATTACAGAATGGATATAGATGCACTGGAAAACGTATACAGGAGGATGGCAAAGTTGATCCCATGTATCAGAAACCTTCCCTATGAGGATAGACTGAGGGCCCTGAATCTGCACTCTCTCAAAAGGCGTAGAATTAGGGGGGATATGATCGAGGTGTATAATGGAAAACGAATAAATAAAAGGGATGTAAATAGCGTGCTGAAAATTTCCAGCCAAGACAGGACTCGCAGCAATAGTTTCAAGTTGGAAAAATTCAGATTCAGGAAGGATATAGGAAAGCACTGGTTTGGTAACAGTTGTGGATGAATGGAGCAAACTCCCGAGTACAGTTATAGAGGCTAAAACATTGTGTAGTGTTAAAAATAGGTTAGGTAAATACATGAGTGGGTGTGAGTTGGACCTGACTAGCTTGTGCTACTAGGTCTGATGCCGTGCTCCTTCCTTAAGTGGAAGTGATCTGACTAGGTGGGTCATTGGGCTAATCCGGGGAAGGTGGGGGACATGGACCTGCTTCGCATGGGTCAGTAGGCCTGCTGCAGTGTTCCTTATGTTCTTATGAATCAGGGATCAATGTAAGCAAATTTATACACACACATGGAACAAGGGGTAAGATGTTGAAAGTGTTTTATGAGCAGAGGCAGGAAAGGTTAAGAATATTTCTAAGTTGTCACTACACGTAAAAAGGGGTAAAAATCAAAAATACAATGGTGCCAAAAATTTTGTATAGATGTAAATCAAACTTTTGAATACTGTGGCAAGGAGGGGGCTAAAGGCAGTAATGAAATATCTGAGATCAATGTGTGGTGTGAATATTACAAAGGGAATAACAAAGGAAGAAAATGGGATTTGTCAACCAAGTGGGTATATAAATCAAGGGTAGAAGGGAGGAGAGGTAGGGAAAGTCCCAAGAGGATGCTGGAAGGACAGTATGAAGCAAGTGTAAAAGGCAAAATAAATGAACACTAAGGTTAGTACAAGCTTAAAGACTAAAAAAAAAGATAGTAAATATCCACAGAGTACTTACTAAGTCACCCAACAAATACTGTGCCAACAATGAATAAAACAGCAGTAGCCTCTCAACATTAGCCTAGTTTTTAGAATGTGAACTGCCTCACTTTTTATATCGCTGTCTTCGTAATCATTAACTGAGCCTCGCATGCTGTCTGTCTCGCCTGAAATCTTGTCATCATCATCAATTATGTGAACTCCTGATGTGTGACTGCTACCTGCCTCACCTGTTAGGTCATATTTTTCATCAATGCTGACAACTCTAGATTCCTGTCTACCGTCTGTCTCACTTGGTGATGCAGCACTCAGCTCTGATGCTCCTTGGCTGCCAATCTCATCTAGTGAAAAATAATATCCCTGAGTATACATGTTTATTAATCAAAGATTAACTGCATAGTGAACATATTTTTCAGTACTATGCCTGGTCAAGGACTGAGTCATGGAGGCACTGATCCCCGGAACACCCTCCAGGTAAAATAATCCCCAAGTTAGAGAACAAGTTGTTTAGCAAAAAATCTATTCCACACTTAGCAACTTCTCGTAACAGCTGAATAATCCTAGAATAACAATAATAACAATAATTAACAACTATGTACAGATTTACAGTTAATAAACCTGAAAATATTTTATTTGTAAATTCTTCTTTCTTTCAACACACCAGCCGTATCCCACAGAGGCGGGGTGGCCCAAAAGGAAAAACAAGTTTCTCCTTTTACATTTAGTAATATATACAGGGGGAGGGGTTACTAGCCCCTTACTCCTGGCATTTTAGTTGCCTCTTACAACACGCATGGCTTACGGAGGAAGAATTCTGTTCCACTTCCCCATGGAGGTAAGAGGAAATAAACAAGAATAAGAACTAGAAAGAAAATAGAAGAAAACCCAAAGGGGTGTGTATATATATGCTTGTTTGGGATATTGGCAGTTTGGAGGGATATGTTGTGTATCTTTATACGTATATGCTTCTAAACTGTTGTATTCTGAGCACCTCTGCAAAAACAGTGATTATGTGTGAGTGTGGTGAAAGTGTTGAATGATGATGAAAGCATTTTCTTTTTGGGGATTTTCTTTCTTTTTTTGGGTCACCCTGCCTCGGTGGGAGACGGCCGACTTGTTGAAAAAAAAAAAAAAAAACATGCATGTGTAGTGTGACCTAAGTGTAAGTAGAAGTAGCAAGACATACCTGAAATCTTGCATGTTTATGAGACAGAAAAAAAGGACACCAGCAATCCTACCATCATGTAAAACAATTACAGGCTTTCGTTTTACACTCACTTGGCAGGACGGTAGTACCTCCCTGGGCGGTTGCTGTCTACCAACCTACTACCTAGATTTGTAAATTAACAGTTAATATTAAAAGCATCTTAAAGCCCATGACATTAATTCTAATTATTATATAAAAATTGAACAGCATTTAAAAGTAAATTGATAAAGAACTACATATTAAAAGTCACAGTGTGATTACAGTGGAGAGAATGTGACAACTAACCTGGTGCCTTAGAGGAGCCGATGACTTCAAAATCATCACTGCCATGTCTCTTTGTATCGCTGTGTTGATCAGTCTTCACCTGATAAATAACTACAGTGGTAAAGCTATCCTCTTCTACAGTGAGAAACTTGGGTTAATTTAGAGAAAAATTTACCACTAAAATGACATGGTGGATAATTGATAAATTTATGGACGAGCCCATAAATGAGAGGGAAGGAATAAAAGGTAAAAGTAGAGCACATGTGAAGGAAGAAGTTGAGAGATTAAAAGAGCGCCGTGGCCTGGAATATTACTTGACACTCTTGGCAATAAAAGGTACAACTTAACCATGATCAGAGATGCTGCTGTAAATCAAATGTAATAAAAATGTGTACAGTATCTGCAAAAAATCTAACTGTACTGATAATAACATTACCTAAATTTTAAGCAGGAAAAAATGCCATTCACATTACCACTTATTTCAATAGAACATCAACAATTTAGTTTTAAAATAAATATTGACCAAAAATAATACTATGGTAGAATGGACACCTTTACTGAGACAATGTATTACTTAAGAACATAAGAACGAAGGAACACTGCAGCAGGCCTACTGGCCCATGCGAGGCAGGTCCAAGTCTCCTACCGGCTTAAGCCAATGCACCCAACCTAGTCAGGTCAGGTCACATTGACTTAAGGGAGGAACACGGCAACTGACCTGGTAGCACAAGCTATCAGGTCCAACTCACACCCACCCACATCCACTCATGTATTTATCCAACCTATTTTTAAAGCTACACAACGTTCTGACCTCTATAACTGTACTCTGGAGTTTGTTCCACTCATCCACAACTCTATTACCAAACCAGTACTTTCCTATATCCTTCCTAAATCTGAATTTTTCCAACTTAAAACCATTGCTGCGAGTCCTGTCTAGGCTAGATATTTTCAGCACACTATTTACATCCCCTTTATTTATTCCCGTCTTCCATTTATACACCTCAATCATATCCCCCCTAATTCTACGTCTTTCTAGAGAGTGCAGATTCAGGGCCTCAGTCTATCCTCATAGGGAAAGTTTCTGATACATGGGATCAACTTTGTCATCCTCCTTTGTACATTTTCCAGAGAATTTATATCCATTCTGTAATACGGTGACCAAAACTGTGCAGCATAATCTAAATGAGGCCTAACCAAGGATGTATAGAGTTGAAGAACAACCTGAGGACTCCTATTATTTATGCTTCTTGATATGAAGCCAAGGATTCTATTAGCTTTATTGCGAACACTTATGCACTGTTGTCTTGGTTTCAGATTACTACTAAGCAGAACTCTTAAATCTTTCTCGCAATCCGTAATATTAAGATCTACATTATTTAGGTTATATGTGGCATGGTTATTGTCCTGTCCAACATTTAGAACTTTGCATTTGTCTATATTAAATTTACTGCATCTGCCACTTCTCCGACCACTGCATCAGTCTATTCAAATCTTCCTGGAGTGCTCGAATGTCCTCGTCAGAATGAATTCGACGGCCTATTTTGGTGTCATCGGCAAACTTGCCGATGTCGCTCTTTATGCCCTCATCTATGTTGTTTATGTAGATTGTGAACAGCAGGGGGCCCCAACACTGACCCCTGTGGAACACCGCTCGTGACGCTTCCCCACTCTGATTTCTCCCCATTTATGCAAACTCTCTGCTGCCTATTTGTCAACCATGCCTCTATCCAGGAAAAAATTTCTCCTCCTATTCCATGTGCCTTAATTTTCCTCAATAGTCTCTGATGTGGGACCCTGTCAAAAGCCTTACTGAAGTCCATATACACTATCATATTCATTACCATGATCTACCTCCTCAAATACCTTAGTGAAAAAAGTTAATAAATTCGTAAGGCAGGAACGCCCCTTTGTAAAACCATGCTGAGATTCGTTGATTAATTTATGCTTTTCAAGGTGGCTACGAACTGCCTCGGCAATTATTGATTCCATAAATTTTCCCACTACGGAGGTTAGGCTTATTGGTCTATAGTTCGAAGCTAAGGACCTGTCACCTGCTTTGAAAATAGGTATCACATTTGCCATTTTCCACTTATCTGGCACCATGCCAGTTTGTAGTGATATGTTGAAAAGATTAGCTAAAGGTGTGCTAAGCTCCTCTTTACATTCCTTTAGAACCCTTGCATACAGTTCATCAGGGCCTGGGGATTTGTTAGGTTTTAATTTATCTATTTGCCTAAGGACCATGTCACTTGTGACCCTAATCGTGCACAGTTTATTATCGTCCTGTTCTACATAATTTATCATTACTGGAATATCGCTGGTATCCTCCTGTGTAAAAACTGAGAGGAAGTATGTGTTAAAAATTCTACACATTTCCTTATCACTGTCAATGAGCTGACCTGAGGAACTTTTGAGAGGGCCTATCTTGTCCCTGATCTTACTTCTGTATACCTGAAAGAATCCTTTTGGGTTAGTCTTCGATTCTCTTGCAACTTTAACCTCATAATCTCAGTTATAAAATTGCAACATTAACACCCCTCCTTCTGATTAATTCACAGTTAATCATGCATGCTCTGGCCCAATCTAAGTAGTGTGAAACCATGTTGCAATGTAAAACAAAGGCATAGTTGGTGCTAGGGGTGTGGCAAACTTTTATCTGTTTGCAATAAAACCACAGGAAATAGGTGATATCACAATATGCAAAACAACCACTGTGAAAAAATAGTGAACTTCCAAGTGCTTTTGTGATTTCTCACATCAAGGTCCTTGATAATGTGAGAAAGCATTTGGAAGTTCACTATTTTGTCAGTGGTTGTTTTTGCATATCTCTGTTTATACACATGTAGATAAAGTCCTGGTCATCTCACCTGCCTAAACTTTATTACAAAACTACTAAAAGGGATGGTGTAGATGCCTGCATTCTCCTTAGGGCTAGTATCAATCCTTTCAGGGATAGTAATGTCTGATGGTGATGGTGACAGTGACAATCATGTAACTGGATTACCTAAGTAACCTAGAAGACTTCTCAGCAACCATGAAAACAGGAAAGCTCAAAAATTGGTTACTGTTGGAGTGTTATTTTCTGTACTCTACTTTTACAATTTATGTATTCTATAAACTTGAAAAAGCTTGGTCTTCAAGCAAAAAAGTCGTCTCAAATTTTTCTCTTCTACCGCAGTGTTCTTTTATCAGCTTGTCAGTTTTATAACCTTTTCCCCAAATACTAACCTGTTTAAACAGTACATTAAACTAGTGTTTCAACAATACATATGTGCTGGTGGGCCAGAAAGTACCCTAACAAACCTTGTGGTCATCTCCACCAGTGACCTGTCCTGGTGCTGCCTTGCTCTCATGGTCCAGCTCACACTTTTCAAAAAGGTCAAATACATTTTCCTTTTGATCCGTCCCATCACCCAATTCTGTAATACAAGCCAACCCATTAAACTACCTAAAGATATATGGCAAAGGTAGTGATGCTGTTTGAAGAGTTATTTAACTCTTAAACGGTCCAAATAGATCGACGTTCAAATCCGTAGTGCTCCAAAAGTAGATCTATGTTTTGTTTTATATATTTTCAAATACATATAGCCAAAAAAAAATGTAGATAACAGTTTTTTTTACACATTTTCAAATGTAAAAAAAAAAAAAAGGATGATGTACATTTTTTTACATACTTTCAAATGTTGAAGAAACGTATATATATGTTTGGACTGTTTAAGGGTTAAACTGTAATGTATGTGCACTTCAGAAAAGACAGAGTGATGATTAATGTGTTTTCTTTGAGTCACTACTATGGTGAGAAAAGGCCAGTGTTTGCAAAGTAGTCATAAATGCTAAATTACTCAATTGAAGCATAATTATTAGTTGTGAAAAAAGACATTTATGTACAGTTAAGGACATTTATTAGAGGAAATGTTTTGCCACGTGAGGCTTCTTTGCCACTCGTGGCAAAATGTTTCCTCCAATATCCTGAACTGTAAACAAGTGTCTTTCTCCACATCTTGTCAGTATCATCATACCATTTTTCATAATTATTACAAACAATTCTGAACAAATTTTTTTTTTTTACCTCAGATCCTTAACCCTTTCAGGGTCCAGAGGCCAAATTTCAAAGTGCACACCAGGGTCCAAGAATTTTCAAAACAAAATTTTGTTATTTTTTCTTATGAAATGGTAGAGAATCTTTTTCTGAAGGTAATAAAACTAAAAGTACGAAATTTGATGGAAAATTGACGAAATTATGCTCTCGTGAATTTTCATGTGTCGGCAATATTTATGAATTGGCGATTTTGCCAACTTTGACTCCCATTTTAGGCCAATTACATTATTCCAGTTGACCAAATTCTTAGCTATTTCACTAGTATTACTTCTATTCTATCAATTGAGCACAAGAAATCGCAAAGTCAACTGTTTCAACTACAAAATAAAGTGATCGGAAATTGGTAATTTGGCCAATTTAACACAAAGTTCAAAATATTCCAGTTTCAAAATAAGGTCCAGAATAAACAATGTAGGTATTCCTGCCACTAAACTAACATTTCCTCTGTTCATTAGTTACGTTTTGAGGCTTTACAAATGAATTCCATTTTGATTTTTTATTCACATAATGAATTTTTATTCAAACCAAAAAATAGAGATTTACTGTTATGCAATACTGTAATAATTGTATAAATATCACCACATTTGTGAATGTATATTAGACCCACCAGCTGGCGTGTATTAGACGTGTGAGGTCGTTTGTTTACTCTTGAACATTGGCAAAAATTTAACATTTCTGCTACTTTGAGCTCAGTTTCAAGCCATTTCCAGTGCTAAAACCAATCAAAATCATCTCCATTTCTGTAATATGTCTTCTATCAAATGAGACCAAGAAATCGCAAATACAACTATAAAAAACACACAAAAAACACTGCAAAGTCGGTGTTTTAATCGAAAATCACGGTCTCAGGTTTTTCTATTATACACTGTGCTGCAGGATTTGTTTTATGTGGTGCACACATACCACATAGATGTATTCTCTCATATCTAGGCCCAAATTTACCACTCACAGCTTATCAGAGTGAGCTGAGCTCATGGCGTAGATCTACGGTTTGGACCCTGAACGTAAAGCCGTAGATCTACGGCACGGACCCTGAAAGGGTTAATCTATTCACTTTATTGATTTATACTCGCTTAGTAAAGTGGCTGTGAAGCAGACATGCTAATTACACAGGCTTAATTTAAGCGAGACATAATATAATTTCCTAGGTATTATTTTGGTAGACAGCAATTGCCCAGGGAGGTACTACCGTCCTGCCAAGCGAGTGTAAAACGAAAGCCTGTAATTGTTTTACATGATGGTAGGATTGCTGGTGTCTTTTTTTCTGTCTCTTAAACATGCAAGATTTCAGGTATGTCTTGCTACTTCTACTTACACTTAGGTCACACTACACATACATATATATACACACACCTCTGGGTTTTCTTCTATTTTCTTTCTAGTTCTTATTCTTGTTCATTTCCTCTTATCTCCATGGGAAAGTGGAACAGAATTCTTCCTCCGTAAGCCATGCGTGCTGTGAGAGGACTAAAATGCCGGGAGCAAGGGGCTAGTAACCCCTTCTCCCGTATAAATTACTAAATTTAAAAAGAGAAACTTTTGTTTTTCTTTTTGGGCCACCCTGCCTTGGCGGGATACGGCCGGTTTGTTAAAAAAAAAAAAAATCAATCAATAAACTGATAATTACTACGATTAGTCAATATACTGTATACAACGTTTTTAATTCAGATCAAAATTAAGTCACACTGGACACATTATGCAGCCTTAGAGATATTCAAAATTTTGAAGAAAAACTGAAAAGTGACTCACAAAATCATAATGTGACAGGGAACAAACCAGGAAACAGGTGGGGGCTGAAGCCACGGCAAGTGAGTGGTAAAACTCCAGGCCAGCGTGTAAGCCACTTGGCCAGCTGACTACAATAAGATTCATCCAGCTACGTATATTTATACACCATAGGGAAGTTAGCATGGGGTAACTTGCCACGGGTCCAATCCCCCACCCATTATGTGGTTTAACTGCAAAATATTACTATTAATTCAAGCCTTTAAACCATAACAAACCTTAGAATTCTAAATTAAGCATCCTACCTATTTGTTTGAATGTAACATTTAAATGTAAAAATAAAATGTTCAGTACAGTGGACCCCCGCATAACGATTACCTCCGAATGTGACCAATTATGTAAGTGTATTTATGTAAGTGCGTTTGTACGTGTATGTTTGGGGGTCTGAAATGGACTAATCTACTTCACAATATTTCTTATGGGAACAAATTCGGTCAGTACTGGCACCTGAACATACTTCTGGAGTGAAAAAATATCGTTAACCGGGGGTCCACTGTATTTTAAATGAACAGAGAAATAAAATGACAACAGTATATGGAAAATAATATGGATACCTACTGTCATCTGCCAAGTTAGCCAACTTGCTATTCTCTTGAGATATTGTCAATGCATTACCATTGGGTAAAGTTCCTTGACTTGCACCAATCTGCAAGATTTAGTGAACTTGTCAATGTTACATTATTGTTACTGACACTACAGTATATTTATTTATAAAAGGATGGAGGGCTAAGGAGCTTTGCAAAGTCTGTAGTTTATCATTTTTTTTTTTTCAACATGCTGGCCATCTCCCACCAAGGCAAGGCAACCCAAAAAACAAACACTTTCACCATCTTTCAACACTTTCACCATCATTCAACACCTTCACCATCATTCACACACAATCACTCTCTTTGGAGAGGCATGCAGATATGACAGTTTAAATGTCACTCCAAACAACAAATACTCCAAACCTCTCCTTTAAAGTACAGGCATTGTACTTCCCGCCTCCAGGACTCAAGTTCAGTTAACCAGTTTCCCTGAATCCCATCACAAAATAGTATTACCCTGCCCACACTCCAACAGCTCATCAAATCCCAAAAACCATTCGTCCCCACTCACTCCTATCTAACCTGCTAACATATGCCTGCTGTATGTCTAAGCCCCTTGCACACAAAACCTCTTTTACCCCCTCCTCCATTCTTTCCTAAGATGATCCTTACCCCTCCTTCCTTCCAGTACCGATTTACACACCCTCCAAGTTATCGTATTTTGCTCCACCCTCTCTAAATAACCAAAGCACCTCAACAACCCCTCCTCAGCCCTCTTAATAATACATTTAGTAACTCCACACCTCCCCCTAATTTCTACATTATGAATTCTCTGCATAACATTTACACCACACATTGCCCTCAGACGTGACACTTCCACTGCCTCCAGCCTCTTCCTTACTGCAACATTCACAACCCACGCTTACCATTATTATTTTTAAAACATCAGCCATATACCACTGAGGTAGAGTGCCCCCACTCCCAGAAAAAGTAACACATTAACCATCATTCATTCAATAGCAATGTTGCCACTAGCGTGTAGACAACACAATTCAAATGACCTTTGAAATTTTAACATCACTCTCTTCATCAGAGTGCAGGCACTACTTCCCACCTCCAGGACTCCTGCTAAATGGTTTACTAGAACACCTTCATAAAATTTACCTTGATCATGCTCCAAAATCGTGTCCTTTAAAAAGCTGTTTCTCTCCACTCACACACCCCTAACATGCACACACAAGCCTGCTGGATGCTCAAGATACTAAAACTCAAAGCCTTCTTCACCCCCTCCCTCCAACTGTTCCCAGATTTATACACCCTCTTTATCCTCTCCATAAATCTAAATAATAATAACCTCTCCTTAGCCCTCTGAATTATACCCTTAGTGATCTCAAATTGAATTTTAATTTCTACACTTCGAATTTTCTGCATGACATTCACACCGCACACTGCTCTCAAATACGAAGTCTCTGATCCTTCAAGCCTCCTCACAGCAATACTCAAAAACCATGCCTCACACTCATACAAAAAGAGTTGGTACTGTACTGCTATACTCTGGTATATTCCCTTATTTGTCTCTATAGATAAACTTTTTCCATAGACATTTCAACTTACATAATCCCAGGAGAGTGGGTTAGAATTTTTCCCAAGTGAGCCATGAATGTCAATTATTATTATTTATTATTTTATTATTATTATCACAACCAGAACTAAGTACTAAACCCACCAGGGTCATAGAGCATAAGTATCATGAATAGCAACTAAAATTCCTGAAGGAAGAGGGAAATAATTCTTTCTGCTGTATTCAATTACTAAAATGTCAATGGCGATTCATCCTTAAAAAAGTACACTTTCTTTCTTTCAACATACTGGCCGTATCCCACCGAGACGGGGTGGCCCAAAAGGAAAAACGAAAGTTTCTCCTTTTACATTTAGTAATATATACAGGAAAAGAGGTTACTAGCCCATGCTCCCGGCATTTTAGTCGCCTCTTACAACACGCATGGCTTACGGAGGAAGAATTCTGTTCCACTTCCCCATGGAGGTAAGAGGAAATAAACAAGAACTAGAAAGAAAATAGAAGAAAACCCAGAGGGGTGTGTATATATATCCTTGTACATGTATGTGTAGTGTGACCTAAGTGTAAGTAGAAGTAGCAAGACGTACCTGAAATCTTGCATGCTCATGAGACAGAAAAAAAGGACACCAGCAATCCTACCATCATGTAAAACAATTACAGGCTTTCATTTTACCCTCACTTGGCAGGACGGTAGTACCTTCCTGGGCGGTTGCTGTCTACCAACCTACAGTGGTCCCTCAATAATCGTCCGGCCTGAAAGTCATCCATTTCAGAAATAGTCCTGTTTTTTTGTCAAAATATTGGCTTGGAAATGGTCCGGTAACTCGCTAATAGTCCTTCGTCCTGGACGCGTACTCACGGTCTGAGCCGCCTCGGCCTTTCCTTCCCAGCCAGTGTGCCATTGTTTACCAGTGAGCGATGGTCCCCTCACGTGCTCCAGCAAAATATTTCATAATATTTCATTTATTTTAGTGCTTGCAAGTTATTTAAGTGCTAAATAAGGTACCATGGCTCCAAAGAAAGCTCCTAGTGCCAAGCCTTTCGTAAAGAAGGTGAGAAATACGATTGAATTTAAGAAAAACATCATTGAACAATATGATAGTGGCATACGTGTGGGCGAACTGGCCAGGATGTATAACAAATCCCGTACAACCATAGCTTCCATCATAGCCAAGAAAAAGGAAATCAAGGACGCTGTTGTTGCAAAGGGGGTAAATATGCTGACAAAAATGAGATCACCAGTACTCGAAGATGTTGAGAAGTTATTATTGGTGTGGATAAATGAGAAACAACTAGCAGGAGATAGTCTTATGACGTCGCTTATTTGTGAAAAGACTAGGCAGTTGCGTGACGATTTGGTAAAGAAATTGCTTGCAACTAGTGATGATGTGAGTGAATTTAAGGCCAGCAAAGGCTGGTTTGAGAGATTTAAGAAGCATACTGGCATACACAGTGTGGTAAGGCATGGTGAGGCTGCCAGTTCGGACCACAAGGCGGCTGAAAAATATATGCATTTTAGGGAAGTTTTAAAGAGACGCCAAAAACAGAGCTCTCTGGACAGTTTTTTTTGCGAGACAGGACTCCAGTGACTCTCAAGGTGGTCCTAGTGGCATTAAGAAACAGAGAAGAGAAGTAACCCCAGAAAAGCAATTGGTACCCGAGGTGTTGATAGAAGGGGATTCCCCTTCGAAACTATAAACAATCCACTCTCTCTCCTCCTCCAGCCTCCCACACACTAAGAAGAATCTCCAATAAAGGTAAGTGTTATGCTGTTAATGTTTCATTCATCATTTCCCATTATATTGTTTATGTACTACATGTATATTTCATGTAAAAAAAATTTTTGTTTTAATACTTCTGGGTGTCAGGAACGGATTAATTGAATTTACATTATTTCTTATGGGGAAAATTGATTCGTAAATCGTCCATTTCGATAAAAGTCCCACTTCCAGGAACGGATTATGGACGATTATTGAGGGACCACTGTACTACCTAGGAAAAAAGTACAATGTATATTAATTTAGTACATATAGGTAGTACATAGGTAGTAGGTTGGTAGACAGCAACCACCCAGGGAAGTACTACCGTCCTGCCAGATGACTGTGAAACAAAAACCTGTAACTGTTTTGCATGATGGTAGGATTGCTCGTTTCTTTTTCTGTCTCATAAACACGCTAAGATAACAGGGATATCTTGCTACTCCTACTTACACTTTGGTCACACTTCACAGACACGCACATGCATATATATATATACATACATCTAGGTTTTTCTCCTTTTTCTAAATAGCTCTTGTTCTTTTTTTTATTTCTTCTATTGTCCATGGGGAAGTGGAAAAGAATCTTTCCTCCGTAAGCCATGCGTGTCGTATGAGGCGACTAAAATGCCGGGAGCAATGGGCTAGTAACCCCTTCTCCTGTATACAATTACTAAAAAAGAGAAGAAGAAAAACTTTATAAAACTGGGTTGCTTAAATGTGCGTGGATGTAGTGCGGATGACAAGAAACAGATGATTGCTGATGTTATGAATGAAAAGAAGTTGGATGTCCTGGCCCTAAGCGAAACAAAGCTGAAGGGGGTAGGAGAGTTTCAGTGGGGGGAAATAAATGGGATTAAATCTGGAGTATCTGAGAGAGTTAGAGCAAAGGAAGGGTAGCAGTAATGTTAAATGATCAGTTATGGAAGGAGAAAAGAGAATATGAATGTGTAAATTCAAGAATTATGTGGATTAAAGTAAAGGTTGGATGCGAGAAGTGGGTCATAATAAGCGTGTATGCACCTGGAGAAGAGAGGAATGCAGAGGAGAGAGAGAGATTTTGGGAGATGTTAAGTGAATGTATAGGAGCCTTTGAACCAAGTGAGAGAGTAATTGTGGTAGGGGACTTGAATGCTAAAGTAGGAGAAACTTTCAGAGAGGGTGTGGTAGGTAAGTTTGGGTGCCAGGTGTAAATGATAATGGGAGCCCTTTGATTGAACTTTGTATAGAAAGGGGTTTAGTTATAGGTAATACATATTTTAAGAAAAAGAGGATAAATAAGTATACACGATATGATGTAGGGCGAAATGACAGTAGTTTGTTGGATTATGTATTGGTAGATAAAAGACTGTTGAGTAGACTTCAGGATGTACATGTTTATAGAGGGGCCACAGATATATCAGATCACTTTCTAGTTGTAGCTACACTGAGAGTAAAAGGTAGATGGGATACAAGGAGAATAGAAGCATCAGGGAAGAGAGAGGTGAAGGTTTATAAACTAAAAGAGGAGGCAGTTAGGGTAAGATATAAACAGCTATTGGAGGATAGATGGGCTAATGAGAGCATAGGCAATGGGGTCGAAGAGGTATGGGGTAGGTTTAAAAATGTAGTGTTAGAGTGTTCAGCAGAAGTTTGTGGTTACAGGAAAGTGGGTGCAGGAGGGAAGAGGAGCAATTGGTGGAATGATGATGTAAAGAGAGTAGTAAGGGAGAAAAAGTTAGCATATGAGAAGTTTTTACAAAGTAGAAGTGATGCAAGGAGGGAAGAGTATATGGAGAAAAAGAGAGAAGTTAAGAGAGTGGTGAAGCAATGTAAAAAGAGAGCAAATGAGAGAGTGGGTGAGATGTTATCAACAAATTTTGTTGAAAATAAGAAAAAGTTTTGGAGTGAGATTAACAAGTTAAGAAAGCCTAGAGAACAAATGGATTTGTCAGTTAAAAATAGGAGAGGAGAGTTATTAAATGGAGAGTTAGAGGTATTGGGAAGATGGAAGGAATATTTTGAGGAATTGTTAAATGTTGATGAAGATAGGGAAGCTGTGATTTCGTGTATAGGGCATGGAGGAATAACATCTTGTAGGAGTGAGGAAGAGCCAGTTGTGAGTGTGGGGGAAGTTCGTGAGGCAGTAGGTAAAATGAAAGGGGGTAAGGCAGCCGGGATTGATGGGATAAAGATAGAAATGTTAAAAGCAGGTGGGGATATAGTTTTGGAGTGGTTGGTGCAATTATTTAATAAATGTATGGAAGAGGGTAAGGTACCTAGGGATTGGCAGAGAGCATGCATAGTTCCTTTGTATAAAGGCAAAGGGGATAAAAGAGAGTGCAAAAATTATAGGGGGATAAGTCTGTTGAGTGTACCTGGTAAAGTGTATGGTAGAGTTATAATTGAAAGAATTAAGAGTAAGACGGAGAATAGGATAGCAGATGAACAAGGAGGCTTTAGGAAAGGTAGGGGGTGTGTGGACCAGGTGTTTACAGTGAAACATATAAGTGAACAGTATTTAGATAAGGCTAAAGAGGTCTTTGTGGCATTTATGGATTTGGAAAAGGCGTATGACAGGGTGGATAGGGGGGCAATGTGGCAGATGTTGCAAGTGTATGGTGTAGGAGGTAGGTTACTGAAAGCAGTGAAGAGTTTTTACGAGGATAGTGAGGCTCAAGTTAGAGTATGTAGGAAAGAGGGAAATTTTTTCCCAGTAAAAGTAGGCCTTAGACAAGGATGTGTGATGTCACCGTGGTTGTTTAATATATTTATAGATGGGGTTGTAAGAGAAGTAAATGCGAGGGTCTTGGCAAGAGGCGTGGAGTTAAAAGATAAAGAATCACACACAAAGTGGGAGTTGTCACAGCTGCTCTTTGCTGATGACACTGTGCTCTTGGGAGATTCTGAAGAGAAGTTGCAGAGATTGGTGGATGAATTTGGTAGGGTGTGCAAAAGAAGAAAATTAAAGGTGAATACAGGAAAGAGTAAGGTTATGAGGATAACAAAAAGATTAGGTGATGAAAGATTGAATATCAGATTGGAGGGAGAGAGTATGGAGGAGGTGAACGTATTCAGATATTTGGGAGTGGACGTGTCAGCGGATGGGTCTATGAAAGATGAGGTGAATCATAGAATTGATGAGGGAAAAAGAGTGAGTGGTGCACTTAGGAGTCTGTGGAGACAAAGAACTTTGTCCTTGGAGGCAAAGAGGGGAATGTATGAGAGTATAGTTTTACCAACGCTCTTATATGGGTGTGAAGCGTGGGTGATGAATGTTGCAGCGAGGAGAAGGCTGGAGGCAGTGGAGATGTCATGTCTGAGGGCAATGTGTGGTGTGAATATAATGCAGAGAATTCGTAGTTTGGAAGTTAGGAGGAGGTGCGGGATTACCAAAACTGTTGTCCAGAGGGCTGAGGAAGGGTTGTTGAGGTGGTTCGGACATGTAGAGAGAATGGAGCGAAACAGAATGACTTCAAGAGTGTATCAGTCTGTAGTGGAAGGAAGGCGGGGTAGGGGTCGGCCTAGGAAGGGTTGGAGGGAGGGGGTAAAGGAGGTTTTGTGTGCGAGGGGCTTGGACTTCCAGCAGGCATGCGTGAGCGTGTTTGATAGGAGTGAATGGAGACAAATGGTTTTTAATACTTGACGTGCTGTTGGAGTGTGAGCAAAGTAACATTTATGAAGGGATTCAGGGAAACCGGCAGGCCGGACTTGAGTCCTGGAGATGGGAAGTACAGTGCCTGCACTCTGAAGGAGGGGTGTTAATGTTGCAGTTTAAAAACTGTAGTGTAAAGCACCCTTCTGGCAAGACAGTGATGGAGTGAATGATGGTGAAAGTTTTTCTTTTTCGGGCCACCCTGCCTTGGTGGGAATCGGCCGGTGTGATAATAAAAAAAAAAAAAAAAAAACATATAAACATTGTTACTTGCAAAAACACAGTAATGAAACTGGATTACAAACCCTTGCATTTAAGGTAGGTCCTGAAAACTGGTACCAGCTGAAGATCACTACTGCTGAAAGGAAAACCATACAAATACCAATGCCCATGGCAGCTGACACGAGTGGATAGTGATACATGAGGTAACGAAGGCCAGAGAAGATAGCGTGAATTCGTAACTGCGCACCATAAAGTTCTACGAACCGGGATTCCAACTCCACATGAACATCTGAGAGCGGTGTCACCTACAACAGAAATGTGAAATTTGTCGAAACCTCAAGTGTTAAGTGTCAGTACATTCATATGATCTAAACTGCTGTACAATGTAATCTTGGAACAAATATTAATCCTTCATAATTTTTGTCCAAGTTAACTGCACAAACTAGTACCATTAAAAAATTAAACAAAATATCAATCGCAAAAAAAAAAAAAAAAATCATTTATTTACTTCATATTTCATCATAGGGATTTTAATCATTTGAAATATTAATTAATTGTAATGCTGTATGAACTAGCACAGCCTACTGCTCTTTGGGACATACTGAGCCTTGAGTCTGGTTTTCAAACACTGAGAAACTTTAAAGGCTCAGTATGATATCTACCAATGATGCTAACTTCTGTAAATTACAGGAAAGATGCCATTTTTTTTTTTATCTTAACAGCCATCTCCCACCAAGGCAGAGTGACCCAAAGAGGAAAACACATTTACCTTCATTCGTTCAGTGACTGCCTTGGTGGGAGACGGCACACCAAGGCAGGGTGACTCAAAAAAGAAACACTTTCACCATCATTCACACATAATCACTGTCTTTGCCAAGGCACTTAAATACAACAGTTCAGATGTCACTCCAAACAGAAAATATCCCAAACCCCTCCTTTAAAGTACAGGCACTGTACTTCCCACCTCCAGGACTCAAGTCTGGCTAACAAGATTCCCTGAATCCCTTCACAAAATATTACCCTGCTCACACTAACAGTTCATCAAGTCCCAAAAACCATTTGTCTCCATTCACCCATCTAAAATGCACACACGTATATATACTGTATATACATGTGTGTGCATTTTGGACATTTATCTGAAACACTAACTTATTGAAATGTGTGCCATATTTATGGATAATGTGAGGCTTTACATGCAGAGGATGTGTTAATGAACTGTGTTTCTCTTGCCCTTACACAAGGATCAGCCATCAACTCTGTGCCCATTCTCATCCTGGCAAATTATATTTGTCAACTGGTTAATGCAGCTGTTGAAATTTAAGGTATGTAAACATACAACTCTAATAAGTTATCATAACACCCTGACTGGATACAAACAAGGCCATGATTAGCAGGTAGAGGAATGAGTCTCCACCACTCCCTACTGAGAATGACTCCATCAGGTTTAGTGCTTCATGAAATACAATAAATTGAGAAACATGGGATGATCCATTAACAAGGATCATCAGCAACCATTATAAGTTTGCCCTAAATGTTCTGCATAACTATGGGCTTTATGCAAGTACAATTAAAAGTCACTCACCTCTGTATAAACATTGTATCATGCTGAAATAAATTATTATTATTAAGGATACACACCGGATCTTCCTCATACTGAGAGAAGAGCTCCACCGTAACCATTTGCTTCTCTTCTTGAATACCATACAGAAGCAGTGGAGAGAATGTCACAGTAGATAAGGTGTGGAGGAGAGGTGACCTGTAGCGCAGCATGGTGGAACGTGATGATTTACGTAGTATCTGGCCTGAGTGCGTCCTCATGCTCATGTTAATCAGGAACATACCTGGTGATTTTACATACCAGAAGTATTCATTTATAATACATTACATAACTCTTTTCCTTTAATGCAACTTTATTCAGATTATTAAAGCAAACTGAAATAAAATATGTGCTCTCCATAAAAATATGGGTTTACAAGAGAATTTACAAAATAGCTGTCACAGTTCTGTATATCAGGTATAAGAGAAAACTTGAAACTAAGGTAAGCTCTATTAGTATGATGTTAAGCACTATTTAATAAAATTAATGCTTATGTAATTTTATTATAGAGATAGAGGGTACATGGAATATAAAAAAAAAAAATCCAGAAAATATGATGTATACAGTAGACCATCAGAAGATGGGGTTCAGTCACACACAACACACAATACTGCACTCTCTCACACGTCAAGAGGGATGCATTATATGAGAAAGGTCGGGGACTTAAAATATGCAGTTATAGAAACTGTGTCTGAATGGGAAAATGTGTATGCATTTGGTTCCCATTCATCCTTGTGCTGAACATACTAATAGTTAAACAGTCTACACAATTTTTGGTATATTGTGATGCAAAGTGGTCACATTATAGACATGCAGCACAGAATAACATTTCAGGATTTCACAGATTTAAAAGCTATGGCACAAAATGGCAAAGTCACATCATGTGATGTGACTTTGGCCTGTGGGATCCTGGTATCCAGACAACATCATGATAGTACTATCCAACGCTGTGGTTTGTTACACACACAACTCAGAGTGTTAAAGTTGCAGAACTTGTGGACTGTGAGGAAGTGCAGCACAGTATAAATAAGATAAAAATTTAACTTAAACACAAATTTTTACATTGTTGCTGAACTATTATCACTTGTAAACTAATAAGGTATTGTGTAAATCACAGTGAGGGAGACAGTCACATTCAGTTTCACAAATACAATGACAAAGTCTTTAGGATGCTCTAGTAACTGATGCTTAACATGTAAATGCACATATAACTTCTTCTATACTCATAGTAGTGAAGCTCTTCCCTTCCCCAGACACATGACAATAACTTTCCCCTTAACGCCACATTGTGTCACACTCCGTCTGCTTAGCAATCTTAATTTTTGCTTCATTATCATTATTGTATTTGTAGAAACGTGAAATCCTTACACATCACTGAGAACATTTGATGTGGTGTTTCAGCGAGTCCTGGAGGTGAGAAGTAGTGTCTGCAGTCTAAAGGAGAGGTGGGGATGTTCAAAGATCATTTGATATGTGATGCCAGCACAGCTATTGAATGAATGATGGTGAATTTTTCCTTTTTTTCTTTTCAGGTCGTCCTACCTTAGTGAGAGATGGCAGGTGGAAATAAAAAAAAAAGGCAATGAGTGCTGTGTTTTTTAGGTTCATAAAATTTTATTTCTAACAACCAATTCTTAACATCATTAAAATTACTGAATCATTAACCCTTAAACTGTCCAAACATAGATCTACGTTTGCGCATGTAGCGCTCCAACCTTGATTTTCTCCATAAGAAAGAATGTAAAAAAAACGAAGATCTACGTTCGGAGCGCTACGCAAGCAAACGTAGATCTATGTTTGGACAATTTAAGGGTTAAGCAAGTGTGATACAATGTGAGATAAAGCTACTGCATTGGTGCTCATGAGAAGATGAGACTGACAACCAGGACATGTATATTCACATAAAAAGCATATACAGTACAATACTATGTAAGGTTTCTTACACTGCCTCAAACACAGCTTCCTACCATCAACGCTCGCCAGGTACACCTCTGCAGAATGCTGTGCATGGAATACTTATTATTATGAAGTATTGCATAATCACTGCCTTAAAAGCCGAGCATAATACAGACTACATCCACAATATACCTCTTCAACACGCCTGTTCCTTCTGGAAGGTTCCTTGATGTTGGTGAGAGGTTCTTGATGCAAGAAACAGGACTCAAGTTTCCATTCCTTGGATCAAACCTGATTGCTTTCTATTACCCAGGTGCTGCATGACCCCTATGAGATTAGTAATTCCCCTTAAAAATAAAAATAATAATTTATCACAACTATGATTGTCAAGTTTTTATATATAAAGATTTAAATGTATGAATTAGTGTTAGAGTGTTCAGCAGAAGTTTGTGGTTACAGGAAAGTGGGTGCGGGAGGGAAGAGGAGTGATGGTGGAATGATGATGTAAAGAGAGTAGTAAGGGAGAAAAAGTTAGCATATGAGAAGTTTTTACAAAGTAGAAGTGATGCAAGGAGGGAAGAGTATATGGAGAAAAAGAGAGAGGTTAAGAGAGTGGTGAAGCAATGTAAAAAGAGAGCAAATGAGAGAGTGGGTGAGATGTTATCAACAAATTTTGTTGAAAATAAGAAAAAGTTTTGGAGTGAGATTAACAAGTTAAGAAAGCCTAGAGAACAAATGGATTTGTCAGTTAAAAATAGGAGAGGAGAGTTATTAAATGGAGAGTTAGAGGTACGTATTGGGAAGATGGAGGGAATATTTTGAGGAATTGTTAAATGTTGATGAAGATAGGGAAGCTGTGATTTCGTGTATAGGGCAAGGAGGAATAACATCTTGTAGGAGTGAGGAAGAGCCAGTTGTGAGTGTGGGGAAGTTCATGAGGCAGTAGGTAAAATGAAAGGGGGTAAGGCAGCCGGGATTGATGGGATAAAGATAGAAATGTTAAAAGCAGGTGGGGATATAGTTTTGGAGTGGTTGGTGCAATTATTTAATAAATGTATGGAAGAGGGTAAGGTACCTAGGGATTGGCAGAGAGCATGCATAGTTCCTTTGTATAAAGGCAAAGGGGATAAAAGAGAGTGCAAAAATTATAGGGGGATAAGTCTGCTGAGTATACCTGGTAAAGTGTATGGTAGAGTTATTATTGAAAGAATTAAGAGTAAGACGGAGAATAGGATAGCAGATGAACAAGGAGGCTTTAGGAAAGGTAGGGGGTGTGTGGACCAGGTGTTTACAGTGAAACATATAAGTGAACAGTATTTAGATAAGGCTAAAGAGGTCTTTGTGGCATTTATGGATTTGGAAAAGGCGTATGACAGGGTGGATAGGGGGGCAATGTGGCAGATGTTGCAAGTATATGGTGTAGGAGGTAGGTTACTGAAAGCAGTGAAGAGTTTTTAAGAGGATAGCGAGGCTCAAGTTAGAGTATGTAGGAAAGAGGGAAATTATTTCCCATTAAAAGTAGGCCTTAGACTAGGATGTGTGATGTCACCGTGGTTGTTTAATATATTTATAGATGGGGTTGTAAGAGAAGTAAATGCGAGGGTCTTGACAAGAGGCGTGGAGTTAAAAGATAAAGAATCACACACAAAGTGGGAGTTGTCACAGCTGCTCTTTGCTGATGACACTGTGCTCTTGGGAGATTCTGAAGAGAAGTTGCAGTGATTGGTGGATGAATTTGGTAGGGTGTGCAAAAGAAGAAAATTAAAGGTGAATACAGGAAAGAGTAAGGTTATGAGGATAACAAAAAGATTAGGTGATGAAAGATTGAATATCAGATTGGAGGGAGAGAGTATGGAGGAGGTGAATGTATTCAGATATTTGGGAGTGGACGTGTCAGCGGATGGGTCTATGAAAGATGAGGCGAGTCATAGAATTGATGAGGGAAAAAGAGTGAGTGGTGCACTTAGGAGTCTGTGGAGACAAAGAACTTTGTCCTTGGAGGCAAAGAGGGGAATGTATGAGAGTATAGTTTTACCAACGCTCTTATATGGGTGTGAAGCATGGGTGATGAATGTTGCAGCGAGGAGAAGGCTGGAGGCAGTGGAGATGTCATGTCTGAGGGCAATGTGTGGTGTGAATATAATGCAGAGAATTCGTAGTTTGGAAGTTAGGAGGAGGTGCGGGATTACCAAAACTGTTGTCCAGAGGGCTGAGGAAGGGTTGTTGAGGTGGTTCGGACATGTAGAGAGAATGGAGCGAAACAGAATGACTTCAAGAGTGTATCAGTCTGTAGTGGAAGGAAGGCGGGGTAGGGGTCGGCCTAGGAAAGGTTGGAGAGAGGGGGGTAAAGGAGGTTTTGTGTGCGAGGGGCTTGGACTTCCAGCAGGTATGCATGAGCGTGTTTGATAGGAGTGAATGGAGACAAATGGTTTTTAATACTTGACGTGCTGTTGGAGTGTGAGCAAAGTAACATTTATGAAGGGGTTCAGGGAAACCGGCAGGCCGGACTTGAGTCCTGGAGATGGGAAGTACAGTGCCTGCACTCTGAAGGAGGGGTGTTAATGTTGAAGTTTAAAAACTGTAGTGTAAAGCACCCTTCTGGCAAGACAGTGATGGAGTGAATGATGGTGAAAGTTTTTCTTTTTCGGGCCACCCTGCCTTGGTGGGAATCGGCCAGTGTGATAATAAAATAAAAAAAAATTATATCCATTGGCCCTAAAATATAAACACATCCATATTATACAGGGTCCATTAATTTATAAAATGAACAACATTTTATAAAATTAACTTGTAATAAACACAAAACTGAAAGACCCATTATTACTTTACAACATTAAGCTATTACAAAGTAATTTCTAAATAACTCAAAATGAAAATACACGTTATTTAAAATACATTTTAACCATGAACCCCGGATGTGACAAGAGTGAAAAAGCTTGCAATGACAAGTAATCTGGAGAGTAAATTCAGTGAATTTTAAACGGGATAGTAATTAATCCCCTGAAACAGTTTTCTGTTTAGTGAATGAAAAACTGATTCTGAAGGATTTACCAAACATATATAAAATTAGATCCAGCATAAGAAACTAGTGTCTGTTTAAGATGCTGCCTATCCTTCAGTCTACACTGGAAACTCACGTCTCTTTCACTAAGGATTAAATAAATTATAAATCTAAGGTAACTAAGCCAGTGATGATACACTCAGGCATGTCATACCCATGACTCATTCAATGTTCCTAAGCCAGTAATGATGCACTTAGGCATGCCTTGTGCCACAACCATGACATATGCAATGTGTAAGTAGCAAAGGTGTTGTGTGCAACCTTTGGCACAGTCTGTTTGATGTGAGAATTTCTCAATAACATAAAATTAATAATTTGTGTAAGGAGTGCTAAGGATAAAGCCTACTTGCCTCGGGTACTAGGGACTGAACATTATTTCCTCAGCCAGGCTTATATTTATAAAAAAAATTAATGCATAGCACAGAGTTAACCACTCTGAAAAATTTACAATTTCACTAGAAGAGGGTAAACTGACAGACAAAAGATGGAAGACATTGTGCCAATACTTAAGAAAGGTGAAATGGAAGACTATGCTATAGGTCAGTTCTGATGAAACATATTTTTGTAAAAACATTAGAACTAGTGATTAGAAAAAACGTGGAGAGGAATAACCCTCTGTCTAGTAAACAATTCAGATTTTGATCTTGATATTCCTGTACATATAACTATGGTAATCTTTTTATTTTTAGTAAACATGCATGGTTTACAGAGGAAAGATTCTTATTCCACTTTGCCATGGATATGAGAGAGAAAATAATAAGAACAAGAACTAGTAAGTGGTTATATGTTGCAGTTTTTTAACTGTAGTGTGCAGGCACATCTCTGGCAAGACAGTAATGGAGTGAATGATGATAATGAAAGCATTTCTTCTTTTTCAGGTCACCCTACCTTGGTGGGAAATGGGTGATGTGTTAATAATAAAATAGTTATTAAGCTATTATAACTGTCACCAAATTTAAAAAAAAACTGGATGGACAGACTGTATTTCTCTGTTTCTGTAAGTACAATAGGAAAATACATAATCATTATTAATATATTCCTGGGAAAGAACCAAATCAAAGAAATTAAAGTTAATCAGGCTTTGTCCAAGGTAGGAATCATAACATTAAATAACTACTGTGTATCAAAATGTTCCTTGTCCAACTCAGTCCTAGATGCAGTGTTTGGTCCAAAATATCCAATGGTGATGATAAATGGATACAACTTTGTTAACTATGAGTTTAAGAGAGTAGTTTAGTGTTGCACGTTACTGTGCTGTGCTGTAGTCGGCAATTATCATCAGGCTGAGCCAAAGGAAACATTCACAATCATTCATTCATCAGTTGTCTAATCAGAAGTGTACATCTTTTACAATTTAAATAACCTAAACATGTACCAGTACTGTACTTATTTTTTCTTCACAACCTGTTTAGACTGCTTATTCTCACATGAAGTGCAGTGTTCTTGAATATAATCAGTTATTTGTTTTTCATTAGTTTCTTAAGGAATACAGTGGACCCCTGGCTTACGATATTATTTCATTCCAGAAGTATGTTCAGGTGCCATTACTGAACGAATTTGTTCCCATAAGGAATATTGTGAATTAGATTAGTCCATATCAGACCCCCAAACATACACGTACATACGCACTTACATAAATACACTTACATAATTGGTCGCACTGGGAGCTGATCGTAAAGCAGGGGTCCACTGTACTGCTATTATATTCTTGAGGAAGTGCTAAGCTTGTCGGGGGTCATACAGCACCTGGGAACCAAGAATAATCAGGGTGATCCAAGGAAGGAAAGGGTAACTCCAATTCTTTGGATTAAGAGTCCTTCAACAGCATCAAGGGATCCCTCTTGCATCAGGAGAATAGAGGAAGCCTAACTGTCAGTACGACTACACAAATAATTTCCTCAACACACCTACATTGAACATGTCATCTTCATTACCTATCCTTTGGTTTGTGGGAGACTCTGGCATTTCAATATCAACAACCACACGGTATTTCTGACCTCGGGCGAGCACAGAGCCACGAGTAGGATCGGTAACACTAATGATGGCATATGGGTTGCTGCAGATACCTGGCCTATCCTGGCATGATCTGCAAAAGACAAGAGGCAATGGGGTGGCTGGGGTCACATATGAAATAAAAGATCTATTACTGTAGTTATTTATACTTTGTTTTCTTGTTTGCAATAGAGCAGATCAAACAATGTAACCTCTCATTCTATATACGTATTCTCTAATTAAGAAGAGTGTCTGCCAAACTGACAGACCTTCGGTACAAGAATTATCCATGTACAATACTGACCTTCATGAGGTCACATAGACCCCCAGATAAATTAAGATACACTGTGCATTGTCAAAGGACCAGGAGGACTAGTAAGTAAGTTTATTCAGGTATACACAAATACAGTTGCATAGAATTATCATACATAGCAGCATATGTGTAGACAACCTAGAATAACCCAAAAAAAAGTCAGACACAGTGACTTCCATTGGAAGTTATAGGGCTTTTACTTTGTATTTCAGACCCCTGTGAATACCTTCTCCCATCTATAAAAATGATTAAGAACAAAACTACAGAATGTATGTTTAAATAATTCTAATATTGTTGAAGGGATATTAATATGTGTGGGAATTCTCAGTTTCAAGCAATCAGTGTAAACATTATGGCTCCACTACTGCTCAATGCTACCACCAAAGATTCATGCCTGCTGTGCTTTGTGCATTATTACATGGGTTGTTAATACAGTTTATTAACTAGAAAAAAACGATAATGACTTCATGATCCTCAAAACAAAATTAACAATCTAGGGACCTAACACATAATGAGGAAAAATGACAATTACTTACTGGTAATGAAAATTCATTGGCCATGTGATAGATTCATCTGGCATGTAAGTGAAGTAGAACGAGGTGTAGAGAAAGACACTCGCCCAAAACATCACCACCATTGTTGCCGAAAACACAACAAGCGAATAGACCGTTGCCTGCCATTCCTGTGAAAACTTAATTATTAACACAAATATATTAAGGGAATGCATATGACATCAGCTAGAGAAGAGATTGAAGGAAGGAACACTGCAATGGCGGCAACTAAATCGTATCACCTGGAGTTTACCTGGAGAGAGTTCCGGGGGTCAACGCCCCCGTGGCCCGGTCTGTGACCAGGCCTCCTGGTGGATCAGAGCCTGATCAACCAGGCTGTTGCTGCTGGCTGCACGCAAACCAACGTACGAGCCACAGCCCGGCTGATCAGGAACCGACTTTAGGTGCTTGTCCAGTGCCAGCTTGAAGACTGCCAGGGGTCTGTTGGTAATCCCCCTTATGTGTGCTGGGAGGCAGTTGAACAGTCTCGGGCCCCTGACCCTTATTGTATGGTCTCTTAACGTGCTAGTGACACCCCTGCTTTTCATTGGGGGGATGGTGCATCGTCTGCCAAGTCTTTTGCTTTCGTAGCGAGTGATTTTCGTGTGCAAGTTCGGTACTAGTCCCTCTAGGATTTTCCAGGTGTATATAATCATGTATCTCTCCCTCCTGCGTTCCAGGGAATACAGGTTTAGGAACCTCAAGCGCTCCCAGTAATTGAGGTGTTTTATCTCCGTTATGCGCGCCGTGAAAGTTCTCTGTACATTTTCTAGGTCGGCAATTTCACCTGCCTTGAAAGGTGCTGTTAGTGTGCAGCAATATTCCAGCCTAGATGGAACAAGTGACCTGAAGAGTGTCATCATGGGCTTGGCCTCCCTAGTTTTGAAGGTTCTCATTATCCATCCTGTCATTTTTCTAGCAGATGCGATTGATACAATGTTATGGTCCTTGAAGGTGAGATCCTCCGACATGATCACTCCCAGGGGATGCAAAGAGAAATGCAGTGGGAGAACAAAAGGGAGAGGTCAGTTTTTGTTTATGGGCTCAAGGAAGTTAAAGGAGAAACCTATGAAGCAAGAAGACAGGAGAAAAAAGCAACTGAAAGTACATGTCATGAAAGCAATAGGAGAGGACAACATTACCCAGGTGATAAAAAATGGCCAGTCAAAGTGATTTTCAAGGCAGAATCAGCTTGAAACAGGATCCTGCAAGAGAAAGCACGACTAGGGGACATACCGAAGTACCAGAGGGTGTACCTCAACTGCAACAGAATACAAGAAGAACGGCAGAAACTGAAAGAGAGGATACAAAGATCCAAGGAGGACCGAGAGGCAAAGATGGAGATAAGCAGGAGAACCAAGACTCAGGAGGAAGAGCAAATGCAACCTCCCTCAGAACCACCCACAGGACGACCTCAACCACGACAACCCCAATGCAACCAAACAATCTAACCCAAAACCCACACACTGTACCCTCTGCTCCAATCCCCCTCATCATAATCTCCACCCCCACAGCAAACCCCCATAGTTCCCCTCCTGGTCTCCCACTCCCCCAACCCCAATGTTCTCCCCAGACCACAGTTTTAGAAAAGAAGTTGAAGGTTTGGTATATGAATGCAGATGGAATAACAAATAAATGCGAGGAGTGGCATGAAAGAATCATAGCAGACACAGAAACAAAACTCACTGGGATGATAACAGACAATCTTCCCACATGGATATCAGATCCTGAGGAATGATAGAGGGACCAGAGGGGGAGGAGGAGTTGCACTGCTCATTAAAAACCAATGGGGATTTGAGGAATGGACGAAATTGACGAAAGGGACTACACAGCAGGTACAATTCAGTCTGGGGGACATAAGGTAGTCATTGCAGTGATGTGCATCCTACCACAGAACTGTAGAGAAAGTGCAAAAGTTTGCAACAAGGCTAGTTCCACAACTAAGTGGAATGTCCTACGAAGACATGTTAAAGGAAATTGGCCTGATGACACTGGAGAACAGGAGGGTTAGAGGAGACATGATAATGACATACAAAATACTGAGAGCAATAGATAAGGTGGACAGAGACAGGATGCTCCAGAGATGGGACACAGAAACAAGGAGTCACAACTGGAAGTTGAAGACTCAGATGAGTCAAAGAGACGTTAGGAAGTATACATATTTCTTAAGTCACAGAGTTGTCAGAAAGTGAAATAGTCTAGCAAGTGATGTAGTGGAGGCAGGAACCATATGTAGTTTTAAATCAAGGTATGATAAAGCTCATGGAGCAGGGATAAAGAGGACCTAGTAGTGATCAGTGAAGAGGCGAGGCCAGGAACTATGTCTCAATCTCTAACCACAAATAGGTGAGTACTAGGTTAAAAACAGATTAAGTAAGTTTATTTAGGTACAGGTAAACACAAATACAATTATCATACACAGTTTAACATGTGGAAATTACCTACCAGGATAACCAAAAAAGTCAGCAGAGTTTGAGAAAGTAAGTTTTTTCTTTTCTTACTAAATTAATTGTATACGAGTCAAACGATATTCATGATCAGTCACACTCATCCACTTAAAAACTCCAGTCAGTTAACAATCATCTCTTCATTAAAATTAATGTGAACGAAGCAAAAGTTTAAAGCTAATTTATTTAGCTCTGAAGTTGTTTAATCCAGTATTATCTTTTATATGGAAATAAGTGACACTTATGTTATTGTCTTATCCTTAGTTAAATCTACACAATAGTAAGTTTATTTAGGCACAGGTACATGCAAGTACAATTATCATACATAGTGTAAATTACCCTCCAGGACAACCCATTAATGTATGCCTATAACATTTATGTGACCACAGAACCCATGTACAAATTTATACCAATCTATAAAATTATTAACAGATTAAATGAATAAAGCTTATCTTATCTGTCTTGTGTTCTTGAACTTGTAATGATTCACTGGATCTCTCCTCTTACCAACATCTACTCAAGGCCAATACAAAACTATAGACTTTTTCCATTCTCACAAAGCTTGAACTACAATTATTTTACAGTTTTAGGTTCATGACCTAATGACAGCATCAGGGTCATTAAGAACTAATAAACATAACCAATGGAAATTAGTCAATCTGTCTGATATTTGGGGGGTTTATCCTAGGTAATTTAGACTATGTATGATAACTGTACTCATGTGTACCTGTAGCTAAATTAACTTAATCTGCAGGATAACATTATCCAAAAAACTAATACCTGATTAAATTATATTTTAACTAGAATTCGAAGCTGCCACTGTTAACTGAAAATTTTATTGCTAGTGAAGCAAAAGTTATTTTAACTATATTTAAGTTGATGTAAGGTTTTACAGAAGATAATACTGTAGTAGTAGTAGTCACAGTAGTAGTAGTCACAGTAGTAATAGTAGTCACAGTAGTAATAGTCACAGTAGTAATAGTAGTCACAGTAGTAATAGTAGTCACAGTAGTAATAGTAGTCACAGTAGTAATAGTAGTCACAGTAGTAATAGTAGTCACAGTAGTAATAGTAGTCACAGTAGTAATAGTTATAGTAATCACAGTAGTAATAGTTATAGTAGTCACAGTAGTAATAGTTATAGTAGTCACAGTAGTAATAGTTATAGTAATCACAGTAGTAATAGTTATAGTAGTCACAGTAGTAATAGTTATAGTAGTCACAGTAGTAATAGTTATAGTAGTCACAGTAGTAATAGTTATAGTAGTCACAGTAGTAATAGTTATAGTAGTCACAGTAGTAATAGTTATAGTAGTCACAGTAGTAATAGTTATAGTAGTCACAGTAGTAATAGTTATAGTAGTCACAGTGGCCCGGTGGCCTGGTGGCTAAAGCTCCCGCTTCACACACGGAGGGCCCGGGTTCGATTCCCGGCGGGTGGAAACATTTCGAGACGTTTCCTTACACCTGTTGTCCTGTTCACCTAGCAGCAAATAGGTACCTGGGTGTTAGTCGACTGGTGTGGGTCGCATCCTGGGGGACAAGATTAAGGACCCCAATGGAAATAAGTTAGACAGTCCTCGATGACGCACTGACTTTCTTGGGTTATCCTGGGTGGCTAACCCTCCGGGGTTAAAAATTCGAACGAAATCTTATCTTATCTTATCTAGTTATAGTAGTCACAGTAGTAATAGTTATAGTAGTCACAGTAGTAATAGTTATAGTAGTCACAGTAGTAATAGTTATAGTAGTAATAGTCATAGTGGTAGCAGTAATTAAGATAGTGTTGATGCACTAAACCCATAAGGTGAATAAAAGGCAATAAGATCTGAGCTAAGGAACCGAAAGATGGTTCTAATTCCTGGATCAAGAGCTCTCCACCAGCATCAAAGCTTCCCTTGAAGGGTCACTGATCAACGCAGCACCTGAGTCATGGGAGATAACCAGGTTTTATTTAACGAAAAGGTTTGTTCTAATTATGTGGACCAAGAGCCCCTTTACCAGCATCAAGGACTTTCCCTTTAACATCCTTTCAAGGGGAAAAAATAAATGAAGTTCGTTTAATCGTTATCAGCGTTAGTGATCAGATTACGTTAGCGATCAGGTTTGATACAATGAAGAGGAGATTTGCTCTAATTCTGTGGGCCAAGAGCCCTTTACCAGCATCAAGGTCTACCCCTTAACCCCGACTCCTTTAATGGGGAATAATAACGGAGTTTATTCCCTCGTTATCCACGTCAGTTAGACGTCTTTTATCTCCAGCTATAAGCAAAGAAAAAACAGCTATTATTTCAAGCCATACCGCTATGTATTTGCGTGCTGCCTTTCTTTTTGAGTCTATGTAGGTTCCAAAGAGAACCATGATGACGTGCTATGTGCCAGCCAGGATGAGTGAGAAAGCAGCCAGGAACACGTCCTTCCCCATCCACTGTCTTGTAAACACTGCTCAGCTGATCTACTCTACTCCAGCTGTCTCCTAGCATTGGTAGCAGTTGGCTAGCCTGACCGCTTGCTCATCCCACCGCTTGCTCGTCCCACCCCTCGACCGCTCGCTCGTATGCTCGCTCGTCCGTTGAATAAGACGTCTTGGTGTCTTTATCAAGGTTAAGAGACTGAACACCTTATAACAAGGATAAGGACTGAACACCTTATAACAAGGCTAAGAGACTGAACACCTTATAACAAGGATAAGGATGAACACCTTATAACAAGGCTAAGAGACTGAACACCTTATAACAAGGCTAAGAGACTGAACACCTTATAACAAGGATAAGGATGAACACCTTATAACAAGGCTAAGAGACTGAACACCTTATAACAAGGATAAGGGACTGAACACCTTATAACAAAGATAAGAGACTGAACACCTTATATCAAGGCTAAGAGACTGAACACCTTATAACAAGAATAAGGACTGAACACCTTATAACAAGGATAAGGACTGAACACCTTATAACTGCGTGCGGCCAGCAGTAACAGCCTAGTTGATCAGGCCCTGATCCATCGGGAGGCCTGGTCGTGGACCGGGCCGCGGGGGCGTTGATCCCCGGAATAACCTCCAGGTAACCTCCAGGTATAACAAAGATAAGAGACTGAACACCTTATAACAAGAATAAGGACTGAACACCTTATAACAAGGATAAGGACTGAACACCTTATAACAAGGATAAGGACTGAACACCTTATATCAAGGCTAAGGGACTGAACACCTTATAACAAAGATAAAGGACTGAACACCTTATAACAACTAGAATGTAAGTAAGTTTATTCAGGTAAACACAAACACAGTTACATAGATCATCATACATAGCAACACATGTGTACACAACCTCCAGGATAACCCAAAATAGTCAGACAGACTTATTTCCACTCTCAGTAGTACCAGTTACCAGTAGATGACTCACTACCAACCGTCTGTGTGAATCACTGACTTATTCACGTTGCTGCTGACCATAGCATGTTTTTGAATGCCGTTCACCCACTAGGCACTGGTGGGTCAGTCTGAGATAGAGAGCAGAGAGAGGCAGGTCGGCTGATGGTGCTTTCCCATACTTTCCGTTATAATTATACATACAAACCAGCCTACGTGAGTATTTTTACCCCATCCACGTTATCGAACCCACATGACACCACTGTGGGTCATTGTAATACCTTATTAATATGCTATCAAGGAGATAATATCCTGTTATTATACTAGAATGATGATATACTAGGAATTACCTGGAGAGAGTTCCGGGGGTCAACGCCCCTGTGGCCCGGTCTGTGACCAGGCCTCCTGGTGGATCAGAGCCTGATCAACAGGCTGTTACTGCTGGCTGCATGCAATCCAACGTACGTGTGGAAAATTACATTTAGCTGAATGTATCATTATATACATAACAGTAAATGAAAAGATAATTATTATTTATCAGTTAGACAAGTAGGAATTTGGGACACCTAGGTCGCAAAAAATGTCCCCCTTCGATACCTACCACTGTCATATCCACAAGTTGCTCTGGACCTATTAATTACAAATGAAAAATACATCACCAGGAATGCTGGTAAATATATAAATTTGTGGACTGTATATTAATTAATTATATATATACACATTTATATAACAGAAGGAAAATATCTCAATATCACTCACCAATTTGACTGTGAATCAAGGTGTATCATACTCAGAAAACCTGTCTATACATGAAAATAACAACTGGCCAGAGTTATAACATAACTCTGGCCAGTCGCCTGATATCTCAAGTTATGCAGGAATGCACATCCAACAATTTCGCCTCCTATTTGAGAGGTTCAGCCCAATTTTAACCTCTAGAGCACGAAAATTCCTTCCCATTACACTAACGTATCCAATTCAAATTAACAATGGCGACTCACCTCCCCAGCCGCAGGTTTCTCATTTTCGATAACATACTTCTTTTAAAAATACAATATAGGGCATCTATTTACCTATAAATTACCGTATTTCCGGAAAATATATACAGTATTTTCCACAGTACAAGCCACAGTCCGGCTGGTCAGGAACCGACTTTAGGTGCTTGTCCAGTGCCAGCTTGAAGACTGCCAGGGGTCTATTGGTAATCCCCCTTATGTATGCTGGGAGGCAGTTGAACAGTCTCGGGCCCCTGACACTTATTGTATGGTCTCTTAACGTGCTAGTGACACCCCTGCTTTTCATTGGGGGGATGTTGCATCGTCTGTCAAGTCTTTTGCTTTCGTAGTGAGTGATTTTCGTGTGCAAGTTCGGTACTAGTCCCTCTAGGATTTTCCAGGTGTATATAATCATGTATCTCTCCCGCCTGCGTTCCAGGGAATACAGGTTTAGGAACCTCAAGCGCTCCCAGTAATTGAGGTGTTTTATCTCCGTTATGCGCGCCGTGAAGGTTCTCTGTACATTTTCTAGGTCAGCAATTTCACCTGCCTTGAAAGGTGCTGTTAGTGTGCAGCAATATTCCAGCCTAGATAGAACAAGTGACCTGAAGAGTGTCATCATGGGCTTGGCATCCCTAGTTTTGAAGGTTATCATTATCCATCCTGTCATTTTTCTAGCAGCTGCGATCGATGAAATGTTATGGTCCTTGAAGGTGAGATCCTCCGACATGATCACTCCCAGGTCTTTGACGTTGGTTTTTCTCTCTATTTTGTGGAAGAAATTTGTTTTGTAATCTGATGAAGTTTTAATTTCCTCGTGTTTATCATATCGGAGTAATTAAAATGAGTTATATATATATTATACATGTGTGTTAGCTAAAAAAAAAATAATTCTCCTCCCTTTCTGTCACAGGTATAACTGAGCTAGTTTCCCGTGGCTCGGTTGGCAGCACACTCGCCTGATAAACTGAGTGACCATGGTTCAATCCCCGAACGGGTGGAAACGTAGGTCAGGTTTCCTTGCACCTGCTGTCCCTGTTCACCTATCAGTAAGTAGGTATCTGACTGTTAGTCACATTACATCTGTTGTCCCTGTTCACCTAGCAGTAAGTAGGTACCTGATTGTTAGTCACCTTACATCTGCCCCTGTTCACCCAGCAGTAAGTAGGCACCTGATTGTTAGTCATCTTACACCTGCTGTCCCTGTTCACCTAGCAGTAAGTAGGTTCCTGGGAATTAGTCACCTTACACCTGCTTTCCATGTTCGCCTAGCAAATAAGGAGGCACCTGGGTGATAGTCAGCTTATACCTGCTGTCCCTGCTCACTTAGCAGTAAATAGGCACCTAGGTGATAATAGACTGGTGTGGGTGGCATCCTGGGGGAGAAGACTAAAGGACCACAGTGGAAATAAGACAATCCTCGATGACTCACTGACTTTCTTGGGTTATCCTGGGTGAATAACCCTCCTACTCCGGGTTATCCTGGGTAGCTAAACCTTACCCCAGGTATGCGACTAGTATAGCCTGCTGAGCAGGCGAAAGGTTTCGTTAGTAAAGATACCCATGTGCCTTATTACCCACCACCACCAGTGTTGGTGACAGCACCACCAGTGTTGGTGACAGCACCACCAGTGCTGATGGTGACAGCACCACCAGTGTTGGTGGTGACAGCACCACCAGTGTTGGTGGTGCTGTCACCAGCACTTACGTGGTTAATACCCACATTTTCGCATTTAAATTAAAAAAAAAATCATGTGTCCAGCCTTAATTTGCCTCTACCTAGCCGAGTCTTTAATAATTCTGCCCAGTCATGCAATGACTAAGTCTACTAATAATCCAAGTACTAATAATCTAGACATTTAATCCAACTTAAAAATAACCAGTCACAGCCTAGTGTTATATTCCCAGCTGCTTAATTAAAGGTTAATTATAATTAATCATTGGGTCAGATTTCGAGTGGTCTTAAATTGTAATGTACTTTTAAATATTACAGCTACTGTGTCGAGAGGAACTTAGGACGGTGTTCTGGTGATCTGTTCTAGCCCTGTGTTAAGTATCAGTCACTTCTGGACCATTCTTATAATAATAATAACAATAATAATAATAATAATAATAATAATAATAATAATAATAATATCTTTATTTCTACCAGTACATGATTCAACTTATACAGACCATAGCTGACATCAATGACATACTACTATATAGAATGTTCCTTGTTATGCTGAGCATTTCCCGTAAATTAGGTCAGTTTTGTCCCCAGGATGCGATCCACACCAGTCCACTAGCACTCAGGTACCTATTTTACTGCTAGGTGAACAGGGGACAGCAGGTGTGTTAAGGCAACACGTTCAGTGTTTTCAACCTTTGCCGGGAATAGAACCCGGTCAATCACCGTGTGGAGTTAGTTTAATATGTTTATTATGTACCCCATACCCATCCTGTGGGCGGTAGTTAAAAGATTACAGAGGTACATAATGGGTCCAGGGACTGGACTCCAAAGTTTTGATAGCTGACCCGTGTGGAGCGAGAACTTTTACCACCAGGTCTCTCGGTCCGTTTCTGGACCATTTTCTCTTCCTGTGTACTCACAATCTCTCATCTCTCTCTCTCGTGTACTCACAACCTCTTATCTCTCTCTCTCATGTACTCACCTCTCTCTCTCTCTCTCTCTCTCATGTGCTCACCTCCTCTCTCTCATGTACTCACCTCTTATCTCTCTCGTGTACTCACAACCTCACCTCTCTCTCTCGTGTATTCACAACCTCACTTATATCTCTCTCTCTCTCGTGTGCTCACAACCTCTCTTATCAGTCTCTCTTGTCTTATATACCGTCTTTTTCACTGTTTTATCCTCACAGTACCCCTTTTACCTCTCTCTTCTTGTCTACTCACGGTATTATTCAATCCTCTAACCTACTTTTATTCCCTCCCTCCCATTCCTTCCCTTCCATAATGTAACAGAGGTGGGAGGGAGATTGGGGTGGGTGCACCAGGCTTCAGGTACAGAACGCGTTGTAACCCAGTATTAAACAGCTCTTGAACGCCACGTTTATACTGTAAGAGCATTGCTGTAGGGGCCTCCAATGTAAATAAGTCCCTGTGACCCTTTTTTTTTTTATTATTCTGGTGGTTAATTTACGCTATTTATGAT